GTGGTGGCCGAGAAGGGCGTTGGAAGGCCTCTAGTCTCCTGGTGGTAGGAAGGGAAGAAGACGGGCTGCTGTGGGGGAAAGGGTTGAAGGTGGTGCTGTTGAAGATACACCTGTTGGTGGTGGTAAAGGGTCGCGCTGTGTTCTTCAACAGCAAAGGAATGAGGAGATTCCTTGATGGGGGCCGCCTCGTGCAAAGGCAGAGGCGGGGCCCAGCCGAGCGGTTGGGAAGTGGTAGAGGGCAGAGGGCCTGCTGTGGTGAGCTTCTCCTTGACCTGAATGAATGAACCAGAGAACAAAAGACTGGGTGGGTGGGAAGGAACAAGGGGGAAAGAAGGGGAGGTTCACGGAGAGCGGCCGAAGAAAAAAGCAAGGCAAACGTACCCAAGCTGCTGCTGCTAGAGAGGAGGGCGCTGAAGGTGAGTTGGTGGTGGTGGGGAAGGAAGCTTGACCAAGGGCAGCCCAAGCAGCGACAACGTCAAACGGGGGTGGAATTTGCGCCGTGGCTTGCGGTGACACTCGAGCAAACGGGGGGTTCCAAGTGTGGGGGCAATCAAGCCCAAAACAAAGCTGCCGAAGCAGTCAAGTGTGGGGAGCTTTGGATGGAAAGGCGAGCTCCTCGACGAGCCACGCAGTTGTACCAAGAGAACAAAAGCCTGGTAGCTCGGGAGCCGGACAGGGAGAGCTCCAAGGGGCCTGGTTTCATTTGAAGTGGCCGAAGAAAACTGAGTCTGCTCGAAGAATATCCACCAAACAACAAAGAATACATAACATTTCCATGTGTGGTCCCTCTCATCTGCTTCTCTCTTCTGATTCTGCTCTGCCTTTGTCTTCCACGCAAAAATCAGCGGTTTGTATGTTGGTGTCTGGGTGTCTCGGTGGCCAGGCCAGAACACGGCGCACGGCGATGGAGGCGTATCTTGGCGTCGGGCACGGCACCCCACCCCAACGACTTCAATGGTGTGTGTGGCGTTCATATGTCAGCTGAGCTCTTGCTGCAAGTCTATCGCATCGAGGTAAATTCCATTTGGTAATTCAGGGAACCCCACCCATCGCCGGTAACCCGTCCTCTCCCACGCCTCCTCACTTGCCATACCACTCTAAATCACACAAGCCCCAAAATTACGATTGGGGACCCAAGGGACTGGCGCGGCGCTTGCGCGCGAACGTATGCAGTCTGTTGAGCCAGAGCCCACAAACCCGTGGTGGTGTTTGTCATGGTTCAGGATAGTATGTCACGCGATGCGGACCTACAGACGTCACACGCAGCGCGTTAGGCGGGGAAGGCGCTGCCCGTCATGAAGCTTCAGGATGCTTGTCTGTCGTCGTACAGGTTGGCCAGACCAGCTTGCAACATGAAGGGGACATATTTTACTTTCTCACTTTGTATGTCAATTGTTTGAAATAGCTGTTTTATACTTTCTGCCGTTTTTGCTGACGTGGAGCCCCGACGTGCCACAACTGTTGTTCTGACCATGGTTGTTGTCATGCATTTTTTTTTTTTTTGTTTTCCTTTCCTTGGTGCGTCATGATGCGATGGCGGCGTCATGTCCGTTGGCGCGCGGTGCATCGACAGCCGGCGCATTCTGTTGATCGAGCGTGCGGGGCCAGCGGTGGATCGATCTTCTTTTCTTCACCACCAATGCTGACGCCTTTTCCCCTGTCCCTGCCCGTGTTTGGAGCGTAGCTTGGACCCTTTGCACACGCCACGACTGAACCAGCATCATGAGCGAGTTTGCGAACCGCGAGTTTGGCGACACCCTCTGCCTCTTTGATGTCGATGGCACCATGACTGTTGCCCGCGCCGTACGTTGAAACACTTGCACCACGATTCAACTTTTTTGAAGTGCCCCTGCCTAGCCTGGGGCTCCCTTGGCTCACCCGATCTTGCCACGCCCTTTTTGACAGGAAATCACCGAGGAGATGCAAGAGTTTATGGCTCGCGTCCGCGCCAAGGTCGCCATTGGTCTGGTGGGCGGCTCCGATCTCGTCAAGATTGAGGAGCAAATGAAGAACACGGGTTTGTACTGGCCCTGCCCGTTGATTGCCCGCACACACCTCCTCGCACCAGCCTCGCCTCCACCAGAGCCTGGCCTAATTCTTTTTTTTTTTTTTCGTGTGTGTGTGTGTGTGTGTGTGTGTGTGTGTGTGTGTGTGGATGTGACTGCCTGGCATCAGCTCGCACGGCCTACGATTTTACGTTTGCGGAGAATGGCCTCACCGCCTACAAGGGTGCACAGGAGCTCGAGACCCAGGTCCTGCCATCCTTGTCCCCTTGCCCCGTCTCTCGACTACCAAACTATCAACTTCACAGCCCTTGCCGCACAGTGGACTCAATATTCATCCTTCTCTTGTGTAGAGCTTCCTGGGCTTTCTTGGCGAGCAGAAGATGCAGAAACTTGTCAACTTTTGCCTCAAGCACATCGCTTCGCTAGAAATTCCCCAAAAGCGGTCCGTATCCTCGGGCAAACCCTCCATTAGCCTCAACCATGCAATGCAACTCTACTTGCTGCTGGACAACAAACTCCTTTGGGTTTGTGAGAAAAAGCATGTCCTCTCACTCACTCTTTTCGTTGGAGGTGCCTTGCAGTGGCACTTTTGTCGAGTTTCGCAACGGCATGATCAACGTGTCGCCCATTGGCCGCAACTGCTCGCGTGCCGAGCGCAATGCCTTTGAGGCGTACGACAAGGTAACACTTGTATACCGTCCACACGACTGACCCAGTCCAGTCTGGCATGGAAGACCTATGCATCGCTTTTACCCTGCCTCACGTCGACCATGTTTGCCTTGTGGACGACAGGAGCATGGCATTCGCAAGGAGTTTGTGGGTCTCTTGGAAAAGGAATTTGCCGGCTGGGGTCTCAAGTTCTCGATTGGTGGCCAGGTCAGCTGCCATGCCCGCGGCGGCAGGCGCTTTGCATGCAAGACTTTGCCGCCTCATGTTTGCGGCCGGCTACATAGATTAGCTTTGACGTCTTCCCCGAGGGCTGGGACAAGACGTACTGCCTTCGCCACGTCAAGAACCACGCCAACTTCAAGCGCATCCTCTTTTTTGGCGACAAGACCTTTGAGGTGAGCGTACCTGGTTCATGGTGCCAAAGGGACTTGTTGCCGGCCTTGACAGCTCACGACTGGCCGACGTGACAGGGTGGCAACGACTACGAGATTTACAACAGCGAGGAGACGGAGGGCCATGCCGTGACGAGCTGGGAGGATACCCGTGAGCAGCTGAGCAAGCTTTTTGACGTTCCCATCAAGGCCTAAGCTGCCTTCCAAAGGAGAGCCCTCTTTACCTAAAAAAAAAAAACAACCAGCGCGTGGTAATCCAGCACCCGTTGGCCTTTGCCCGCCCCTTTTCCTTTGGGATCATACTTCTTGCCTTTTGTACCTCCCTCTTGGGTGCCCGAGTGGCATCATTGCGAGATGCCCGAGTGTGACTTCGTCTTATTTATCTGAGCGTGCTCCACTCCTCGTCGCTGTATCAGCACGAGGTGGCTAAGCCAGGATGAATAAAAACGGCGGGCCAAAATGAGCCAAAAGGGTTACACCTATCGCGGTGACCGCTGGTTCCTAAGAGAGTAGAGTCGGTCCGTCCTCCCCGATGTTTCCCACAATCGATGACCAACTGACAAGTGACAGTCTTGAGCGTTTGGTTTTGTTTGTGATTACCAACTGTCAACAAACATAATTGCGCCATCTGGACCTCCTCTGGGTCTCCTAGTCTCCTAGTCTCCTTTCTCTTTCTCTCTTTCTCTTTCTCTTTTGTCTGAGTTCCGCCCACCTGGACTTTCTCTCTCTCTCTCTCACTCTCTCTCTCTCTCTCTCTCTCTCTCTCCTTCTCCTCTGCGCGCGCGAGATCTTAAAGCACTTGATCCCTTGACGCGCGCGACGTGTTGGGACGGGACAACAGGAACCAGAGGGGACGGTCGGGCCGAGTCTTGTGGATCGACTGTCAGCGAGCGATACATGTCTTGAAGCCTGGATGCGACCGACGGTGCACGGTACGTTTGCAAAGGGACTGGCTGCCGGATCGGTCCGGCTGCCGCCCCTTCCCAAGGGTCCAACGCAGCCGGGCTGCCGCTTGTGATCGGCTCGGCTTCGGCAGAGCTTCAGCACCCCTGGACCACTCGACGGAATCGTAGCCATGTGCCGCTCTTTCCATCCAACTAAACCCAATTTCCAAACCTGGACTCCTGCTATGCACCACGTACCTCAATCACGACGTCATCTTGCTGTGTACTCTCCTCATATCGCCTTTCCGCCTTGGCCCATTGAAACCGGGCCCTCCTCATGGCTTCCGGTTTAGGGTGAATAGGCCTACCATCAGGCCCCGACACATTGGGCTGCTGTATCGCCAACAAGACGCGAGCTTAGATACTAAACTGACCGCCATGAGTGACGAAGATCTGAGCGATGTCGGTGGCAACAACGCCATGGAGGTAGCCCGTGAGCTGCGGGCTAAGCAACTCGAGTGGTATGATCAGTATCAGTCTGGCCAACCCGTCACATACGAAAACCACCAACACAAGACACTTGATCTGCAATATGACCCCAGCGTCTTTGAACGCGACCGCGTGCCCGTCAAGGTTTGTTCCAGCCCACATGGCCGTATCATCAAATGCCAGTACACCCTTGTGTGGATCCATGCGCGCCGCATCATCTCAACCTCTGATGCGCCTCGTGGGACCCAGCTTGCCTTTGAGAAACGCTACATTTTCCTCAACGCTGCAGCCACGGACGAACTGGAAACACGTACGTCGCCCCTGCCGGCCACACGGAGTGACCGCTCTGCCCCAGCCGCGATGTAATACTCTGCCCCGACCGCTGTAGTGGAGAGCATGGCCAAGGATGGCTTTGATGTCAACGTCACCAATGATGAGGGCGTAACGGCTCTACACATGGTGCGTGTGGCCTGATTATCAAACCCGTCTGGCCCATCTTAACCTTCCCTCGACTCAGCCAACCATCGCTCAACCCGTGGGCGACCCACGTGGTCTGCACCCGCCCCCATACATACCATAGGCCTGTATCGAGGGTTCCCTCAAGGCTGCCAGCTTGCTTGTGCGCCTCGGTGCCAACGTCAACTGCCGCGTAAGCGCTGAGCTACCTGCCTGCTATTACACGTGCACGGCCACCCCAGCTAACAGGCAACGCACGGGCCTAATAGGATCTCGACTGGTGGACGCCCTTGCACACGGCGGCGGCGTGTGGGCATTGGCGCTTGGTCAACTTTCTGCTCAGCAACGGTGCCGAATTGACGGCTGTTAATTCGGAAGGCGATATGCCCGTGGACCTGGCCGAAGATGATGAAAAGTGCTTGCGCATTCTTGAAGACGCCATGCAAGAGCACGGTGCGTTCGTTGACCGCGTGTCTCATCCTGCAGCCGCTGAAACCCTGCGACCTGCCTGCGAGGCTTGTGGCCGCCTGCCATTGCTCCGCCCCTTGATCGCACCCCGCTCTGACGTGATGTGCGTGCTTCCTCGACAGATTTGGATGAGGACAAGGTTGAGGAGATTAAGAACAAATACGAGACCGAATTTCAGGCTCTGGTGGATCAGATGATTGCAGACAACGAAGATTTGAACCAGCTGGACACCCATGGGCAGAGTCTGCTCCACATTGCAGCTGGAAACGGCTGGTTTGAGGCCCTCAAAGCACTAGTGCAGTGCGGTGCCAATGTAAATATCCAAGACCCTGAAGGCAACACCCCCCTTCACTTGGCTATCGTCTTCCACAACTTCAAGTGTGCCGAGCACCTGGGCATGAACGGCGCGCGCCTTGATGTCTTCAACAAGGCCATGCAGACGCCGGCAGTGCTGACTGAGGACCCACAGATGCTGCGTCTACTCAAGCAGGTGGAGAAAAAGGAAAAGTCCAACTCGCTTGCCGTCGAAGACGAAGACCGACCTCGTGCCAGCACCATGAACAAAAAGAAGTCACTGGTCAAGGGCGGCTTGGCTAAGATGGACAAGGCCAGCGAAGGCAAACAGGCCGAAGTGGGTGACTGCTGCTTGCTAGGCTGCATGAGCAAGGGGAAATGAGGGAGGGAAAAGGGCTTGAGATGCATGGCACTGACGCTGCGTCCATGGACGCGCAAGAGCGGGTTTGATGGGTCCACACACCTCGTGAACATCGCCTGGCTAATTTGTGCATGCGCCCATAGATTTTGTATGCTGAGCTGAGCTTCACGCGTCGCGATCGCCGTGTCTCCGAGTACGAGGATCGGGATCAGATCATGGCCTCGCGCAAACCCGGCGGCTCTGATGAAGACAAGGCTCTATATACCGTGGTCGATATCAAAGCCACTGAGCGACGAGCGTCGAACAAGGCGGAGGATAAGCCAGCCGCCGCCAACAGCGGTGCTGACTCCGACTCCAATTCCAAGCGCAACAGCGTGGCCTCAGACAAGGGATCCAATTCCAAGCGTGACAGCGTGGCTTCGGACAAGGAATCCAATTCGAAGCGCAACAGCGTGGCCTCAGACAAGGGATCCAATTCCAAGCGTGACAGCGTGGCTTCGGACAAGGTATCAGCGATTCCAATTTTGGTCCGCCAATGGAGCATCGGTTTCTCAAATCATGGGACATCCAGGCCACGTCTAACGTTTGTATTCGCGCGTGCTTGATAGCCCGCGGCCGTCGCAGAGGAGAGCCCAGCAACCGCAGCCGATCAGGATCAGCCAAAAGCTGTGCCCGCCACGGTTCGTGTGTCTGAGTTCTTTGGCAAGGAATGTGTGCCTCGTCTCCTTCTCATCTACACGGTTTGCTGCTGCTGCTCTTCGTTCCAATGGCCTCGCAGTCAGCAGCTGAAACTGCCAAGGCAGCTGAGGCAAAGGCAACATCACCGCAACCTGCCTCCCAGGGCTGCTGTATCATTTCCTAGCCTGCTTTGGTAGAATGCCGCTAGTGAAACAAATTGGAGGCCGAACAGTTGAGGCTTTGGCATTGACCACCCTCTCCAGGTCTCTTGTTTCGTGCGTGCATTTCATTTATGCCTTCTCTCTGTGTACGCGCTCCTGTCGAGGCCAATTCTTGGTCGGACTGTATGTTTGTTCTGGTTCCCTTTTTTTTTTTTTTTTTTTTTCTTCTTCTTCTTCTTCTTCTTCTTCTTCTTCTTTTGATTTGCACTTTGCGGCTTGCGATTTGCCTTCTTCCTTTTTCTCGCCCTGCTTTGTTCCCGCCTGGTTACCTCCTCCTGGTGCTGGATCGCTCGTCGCCAGATTGCCCAACACGACACAGCACAGACTCTTGAATGAATAAAAGAGATTTTAAAAACTTTGGTTGCCTCGACTTTTCACGCTCTTCTGATCGTGCAAAGCACATTTGGCTGCTGGCCCAAGTCTAAACCCACCCTCATGTGCAACAGAGCCCTCACCCCCAGAAAGCCCTTCTCTTGTTCTCATCGACGGATACACACAGCTTATCCCCTGAAAAAGTCTCATTTCCGTTACAAGTCTGTTAGAATTACTTGTGTTCTTTTGGTGTTTCATTTCTCTCTCTCTCTCTCTCTCTCTCTCTCTCTCTCTCTCTCTCTCTCTCTCTCTCTCTCTCTCTCTCTCAAACTCTCTCTCTCTCTCTCAAACTCTCTCTCTCTCTCTCAAACTCTCTCTCTCAAACTCTCTCTCTCAAACTCTCAAACTCTCAAACTCTCTCTCTCTCTCTCTTTCGTACTCGCCAACACGCTTATAAGAGGCGAAACGCAGGTGCATGTTTTGACAGTCGGAAGCACGCAGCCCGACCTTGAGAGGATAGTCGAGCTGTGTGGACGGAAGCGATCCAACCCAGAGGCGAGGGCCTGGTTTTGGCGTGTCGCGGCATGATGGAACACGATCGTTCCATGCAGGTGAGGGCCCAGCTCTGCTTTCTGCGTGCCCATTTGACCCTGCGTCGCTGCTTGATCCTCACGCCCTCTGGCCCTTGGCCTCTACCGTCCGCCATCAACTGGTGCTTTCTGTCGTGCATGGTGGCTTTGGCGTCTTGCCTTTGTTTCAAGGATACGATTGCTGTGCCCGTCAAGTACCCAGACGACACGGTCGAGCCAGATATACGCAGAAATAGTATTGAAGAGGATTACAACATCAACTGGAATCATAGCCTGGGCTCGGGTGGAGGCGGAAAGGTTGTCCTTTGCACTGATCGAACTACTCACCAGGTCAGCTGGCCTGCCTCTGCGTAACTCGTCCTGCCACCACGACTCTCAACATATCTCTGAGCTGCGCCATCAATGGCGTTGCCTTTCCGCCAATGCTCATTGGACCTCGGCGCTCTTCAGGTGTATGCGCTCAAGTACATGCCCGTGACCTACGGAAGCCGACATGAAATTCGCATGACACATTATTGCACGGTCCATTGCCCCGACGCCGTCACTCGACTTGTACGCGTCTATGAGAACACGGTCATTGGCCTCAAAGGCCTGGCACGTCGCTCGCGCCGAGTATGTTGACCCCCAGCCGCTTTTTTTTTTTTTTTTTTCTCGTCAACGTTGTCTTCGCTGCCACCTCATTCTTCGCCCGTGTTCCTCGGGCTGCAGGACCGCTACCACCTCCTGGTCATTGAGTACATGAATGCAGGCAACCTCTTCCATCATGTCAGCTCCCTGGGCTTTCGCTACAGCGAACAAGTAGCCAGGTGCGAGCGAATCGCCATCCTTGCCAGTCTGGCATTGCGGTGATGATTGTGGCGATTGGTGGCGATTGGTCCTGTCCTCACGTCCGACCTGGTTCATTGCTGGCCCTGCGGGTGTAGCGAGCTCTTTGGCCGAGCGGCACGCGCACTGTCCAAGCTTCACGGGCTGAGGGTTGCGCACCGCGACGTCAAGCCCGACAACATTCTCGTCTCTGTTGATGAGGACACACAGGAAGTCACGGTCAAACTCAGCGACCTGGCTTTTTCCCACTTTGACCTCGACTATAATCTGCAGTGTGAATGTGGAACCCCAGAATACCAGGTTTGAGCTCACAACCCGCCCACGGCAACCAAAACTCCCTCGTACATCTTTGAGCGTGATTCCGGCACGCCACGCAAAACTCATTGAAGGTGCCCGTTTTATCGAACCCACCCTGGCAGGCACCAGAAACACAGATTGAGTACCGCAACGTGTGTCGGCGTGGTGGATTCTACACTCGCAGCTGTGACGTAAGTGATGACCGTACCCCTGCTCAGCCCATCCGCCCTCAAGAGGGTAGAATATCAAGCGGTACTTTGTTTTGGTTCTTATTTTTCTTCTTCTTCTTCTCTTTTTCCTTTCCTTTGCTTCACTTTTGTCTCACGCCATTTGCTCACCCCGCATCCTGCACTGGCTGGCTGCCTCATATAGATTTGGAGCTTAGGTCAGGGTTGGCAACCGACAAACATGCTTGTGCTGACCAGGACCACGCAAATGCCAGACTGATTATATATCTCCGTTCTGTTCGTTGCTCGGCATTGGTTTGGGTCCGCAGGCGTGATGCTGTTTGTACTTTTGTCTGGCTGCTATCCCTTCATTGGACAGGACACCAAGGCCAAACTGGACCAGGTTGGGTTGTAGGCGACTCGTCTGCATCGTCGCTGAAACCAAGCTTCAGCAGCTCCTCTCTCATGCTTGCGTGGCTGTCTCCTGCTCCTCTGATGGGTGGCTCAATGGCTCGGCATGCAACCAACAGGACTACACCTTCCCCAAGGCCACCTGGGGCTCAGTCTCGCTGATGGGACAAGCCTTTGTGTCCACGCTGCTTTGCGCGCCGCCGCGACTGCGGCCCACCATTGAACGCATTCTGGGTCACCCGTTTGTGACCAACCCACAGGCCTTGCCTACCACTTATCTCTCCACGGTAGAACGTCTGCCACAGCTGCCTCAGTACCCCGGATTAAACGTCGATGGGCGTTCGGCTGATGATCAGGTTCTGGTGTCCCAGCGAGTGCCCGATGACCCCTTGGCTCCCGGAAACCCCCGGCCACTGTTGGCCGCCGGTGTCACCACCTCCACCACCAAAGTGGGCTACCAACGCACGTGCAGTGAGCCCCCACCTAAGCTACGCATGTGGCCTGAGGTTGAACTCGATCGGCCCCCGGTGCGTCGGTGCTTTTCGTTATGACCGCGATGGTGCTGCCTCAAGTTTGGATGTACTTTCACCGTCTCTGTTCTGGTCTGGCCTGCAGGGGATTGTGCGATGTTTGGGAGTCGAATGCCTCAGTGTCCTTGATTGACATATGAGTATGTGCTGACCTCATCGCGTACTGAGGCACTGGCTGTCTCAAAGGGACATGTGCGATGATGAATCGAAGAGTAAAGTTTCTAAAGAAAGACACAACAAGATGTCTTTTGTTTTTGTTTGGTGTTGTTTCCAGGGAGCAGATAACACGGCAAGCTGAGCTTGCGAGGTAGAGTTGTTTGTTCGCACGTTATTAGCCAATTGAGCTGATCAGAGACCCATTTCGTTTCAGGGTGATAATTCGACCGGAGAAGGACATGGCGTGGTTCTTGGCTCAAAAGGCGGAGAGTTATGACAATCTGATGTTGGAAACAAGTCAATCATGAAACTAAATTCAAGATAGAGCCACAAGGCTTCCCAAGTGAGCGCACGCAGGACGAAAAGACCGGCGAATCGTCCTCGACCTTGAGATAAACCCACGAGACATTCAGTGAGTGAGTAAATCCCAGGCCTACACCAATTTGCTCACTCGCGCACTGACAGAGAGAAATACGCACATCAGCCTGGAAACCAGCCATGATACAAAAAGAAGCGCAAGGCGCGAACCATCCCGGCTCGGAGCCGACTACAAAGTCGACCAGCTACTAACATGAAGAAAACACAGAAAATAATTCTCTGGTCTTGGAGCGACCCGAAAGCGTAACCGTTGACCAACCCGGGTGCGGAAACGCTCATAAGAAACAGACATGTAGAAGAAAAACACAAGAGAATGCCCAAAACTAAAACAAAATCAAGTAGAGAAGAGAAGAGAGCGGAAGGAATGTAGGGAGAGAATCAAACAAGCTGCCTGAGGTGCGACAATCAGCAGAAGACTTCCCGAGTTCAGAAATTCAAACAGTTGAAAAGAGCCAAAGGGATCAGAAAATAGCCCTGATTCAGACGGCAAGCTCGAGGACACGGCGGACAGGGCGGTGGCGACACGGTCGCAAAAGCACACCCAATCAGATCAACGAAAGAGAAGAAAAATCAAACAAACAAAAAGAAGAAAACTCAAGAGCGGAGAGAAATGGAGGTCCCCTTAGATGTCGGTAGGGCCACCGAGGACATGACCCGGGGAGACAAAGGGGAGGGTGTCGCGTTCTGAGCGAAGGCGCTGAATCTCCTTTTGCTGCTCAACGATAAGCTCGGAGAGCTTTCGGTTGCAGTTTTCGAGGTCGGAGACCTTGTGCTCAAGCAGCTCGAGGCGCATGGCCTTTTCTTCCATTTCCTGTTTCTTCTTGATGCGGCAGCGCCGGACGGCCTCGTTGTTTCGGATGCGCTTGATCCGGTAGTTATTTGAATCCTCCCCGCGGGGTGTGTTGGCAGGTGTGGTCTTGCTTGTCATCTTGCCGCCGGCTGGATGGCTGCCGGTGGGGGTATTGCTGTTGGAGTGATTGCTGCTGGAGTTGTTGCCGTTGACGTGGGCCGGGGAGGCGGCAGCGGAGGCGGCGACAATGTGTTGGCTGAGCGTGGTGAGGGCACTGGCGGCGTCGGCCTCTTGGCTGTGCAGCTGACGGCTCATGGCATGTTCGTTGGTCTGATCGCTAATGGCATCAACGTTCATGCTACTGCTCCGCGAGGCCGAGGCTGTCTCTGTGTGGACAGACAAGGGCAGCAGCCGGCATTAAGAGGAGAAAGATGGACGCGCGACGTAAGGAACGACGACACAGAAGCACAATAATACCCAACGAGTAACGAGGGCGGGGGAGCGCATTATCAAAGAGCCAAGTTTGGGCTGGCACGTGAACAAGCAAGAGAAGGAACAGTTGGGGACGCGGCAGGGGGGGCTTACGTGGCTTGTCAGATTTGGCGGTGTTGAGCATTGAGACTTGCTTGTACATGAGGTCCGAGGTGGAGGTCGGCGTTCCCGGGAGTAGATCCCGAACACCAGCAACGCGAGCCGTCATGATGATATCGAAAGGGCAGCGGGAGCTCTGGAGCCAAGGGGAGGAAAGTAAACGGCGGCGGCAGGGGCTGATGTTGAAACAACAAGGCAGATGACGACACAACGTCTTGATTCAAGTTTGTGACGTGGGAGTTTGAAAACGGCAACGGGGTGGGAAAAATGCGCAAGAATGGCGCAACAGGCCGAGGTGGAGAGAAGAAGATGCAGGAAGAAGGAACAAGGCCGAGAACAAGCTGCAAAGGTGTGTGTCTTGGTGTGTGGTGGGTGGTGGTGGTGGTGGTGGTGCCGGGGCAAGTCGCAGCAGGTGCGGGAGGGTGTGAGGGTGTGGGGGTTAATGTGGGAAAGTGACTGAAGAGGGGCATGCAGGTGTGATCAAGGCAAAGCAAACTCGGACCGTGCTCGCGACCCAGACGCTCCGCTCTGGCTGATTCTGGGTGTGAGTGTATGTCGTGTTGTGTGTGGCAGGTGGGTGTGGACGTGGGAAGGACAAGGTAGAGACGAGTGGTCATGACGGCCATCATCTGGCCGTGCCGCTCGGCGTGTACGGGGGGAGACGACGCGCATCGTCGCTGCCATTTTGATCCAAGGGGATCGTCTAAATCGGGTGTCGCAATGCGTGTGTGCGTTACTGTTACTGTGACTATTGCATACTGCTCTGTTTGTTATTTGTTTGGGTCGTTGAGCGACGCTGATTCTTGAGCATGTGAGGGCATGGCTGGGTCAAGAGTGACGGACCGACCTCTGAACCGGGTCGAGTCTTCTCGTATCTATCCCGACAGATGCAGAGACCTCCCGGCGCTGCCATTTCAAGGGTCAATACGACTGTCAAAACCAGATCCAACGCCATTTTGAAATCCTTACAACATCACACACATGAGAAGAAACGTTAAGCTTATGGGCTAACACATACACACACACACACAGGAGGTGGCTCGTGCTTGTGCTTCTTACGAAACCCGAGGGAGAACAAGGGAAACGGGCTTGGGAGGTGTGGTGGGGGCTTGACGGGAGGATTACACCATAAGGCGTTGTTGGACCTAGCAAACCCCGATCGCGGTCAAGCCGAACAATTCGCACAAGATGCGACCGCACGCCCGTGATGGCCTGGGGCGTGGTGTTGCAACCGTGAGACCCAAAGCGAACCTTTCTCTGCACGCGCCTGCACCTGACCGATTGGGTAACAATCGCAACAGATGGCGAAACTTGGCACACAAGGTGTGTGACCGCGCCATTGCGTCACCATGAGATCACGTAATCCTCAGTCTCACAATCTCCGCCGAGACAGGCGGTCATTTCCAATACCCAAAGAACTGTTGTTGTCAACAGCTGTTAGACATACGGCTTGCCGGCTCAAGCGGCTGGAACCTCAGCCATCCCCTTAGGGTCGAAACACCCTTGGAACAACCCTTGAGGCATGAGTCAGACCAAGCACTTTGAATTGAAATAGACAAGGCCATGAGCCTTGGGCTGTTTTGAGGGAAAAAAAATTTGGGCAATTGTAGACGCCACGCCGAGGCGCATACCGCATCGCTGCGAAAAAAACAGAAGAGCAGGAGGGAGATCGGCGAAAGGACCCGGAAAAGAAAAGGAGCCAGAGCAGGAGAGAAAGAACGGGTCATGGGCAACGCAAACAGAAAAGAAAGGGGGGACCAGAGGCTCGGAATCGAAAGAAAGTCGGGCGCCGACATGGCATAGAAGGTTAAAGAATGGGCTTTCACACGATATGGGCTGTACCACACACGCTCTAGTCCAGCATGGTGTTGTATGGATCCTCCTCAGGGACAGGCGCCTCAAAGAGACCGGCTGTGAATCATCACCAAGCACCACGTGAGCAGGGGTCAACGGGCTGTAACAGGTAAGGCTTTGCAGTCCGCCAAAACGAATCAACAACCCGACAACAACGTACCGCCAAGGGTACCCTTGGGACGGGAGATAAAGTTGGGCTTGTGCAGGGGGTTCATAATGGCATCACGAACCAGCACTCGGCTCTACACTCCCCCAAACATAGCTGTCAGGTTATAGCTGGCTCAGCATCGGCTATTCCTTCTCTCAATGTCCTGCCCTTTGCGTCAAAGCCGTGGTCGGCACCACGTACGTTTTCAGCGCCAGGAATGCTGCCCGCCACCATGATTAGGTTGTAGCGCGTGTCAATACGAATCACCTAAGCAATACCACCAGTGAGGGTCGACAATGCCCCTTTCCATCACGGGTGCGGTCTTGAGAGAAAGCACTAAGCATCTTACTGCGAGGTTGCGCTGCCACCGCAGAACACCGCCCATACGACCTGCATTCCGCTTGCCCTTCCACACACGGCCAGGATCCTAGTCATGATCGGGAAACGAGACCATGCCATGACGCCCCACAGCAAGCACAGATGAGAATAAGCACGCTCCTCAAAATAAGAAAAGGCGTCCCTTTTGCCCGCTGCACCGGCCATCAACCAAGCCCATACGCCCGCACAGCGCCAGCGCCCATCCTACAACAGCCACAAAACATGCTAACCTGTCCGCCACCGAAGCCACCCATGCGTCGGTGCGTCTTGGTGACACCATGGGTTGCGGGCATGCCCTTAAAGTTGTGGCGCTTCATCACGCCCGCAAAGCCCTTGCCAATCCTAGCACAAGCCGCCAGAGAGGTCAGGAGCCGAGTCAACCCATCTGGCTTGAACCGCAAGCCCGGGGAAATGCACCAAACGAGACCGGGGGACAAGACTGGAACGCACGTGGTGCCGCGCACATCCACCAATTGTCCAGGCTCAAAATGCTCACATGAGAGTTCATAACCTACAAGTTTGACACAAGCACAGACGCTTCATGAGCTCATGGCGCGCTTTTCAGGAGAAAAGTACTCCCACCGGTTGAACCAAGGACGGGAAGCAAGCGCGGCCAAAGGGTGTTTCAAATACAGTTCGCACCAATGGGAAGCATGGCCTCAGCGCTAATGCGGGCTTCTTCCATGTGACGCTTCGACGGCAAGCCGTGCTTGGCAAACTGGCCACGAATGCGACCATCCAACTACACAAAGGTTCCACAACATGAGGGACTGTCCGTAGCAACAGCAGAAGCGACCTGAAGCACCCCCGCGGTCGAACTGTCGACTAGGCAGGGCACTTGGTCATCATGTAAAAGAAAAGCCTGTTTCTGCTCAAACCCACCTTGGAGTCCTTGATGGTCTCCGCACCAAGGATCAAGGCCTCGTAACCATCGCGCTCGATAGTGCGATGACCCACCACTTGGCAGTCCTCAACCTGCCAAAGACAACAAGCCCACCCAAAGAGTCAGACTTGGCGCCCGAGCGTTCAAATCCTAATGGGCCTGGAGCAGAGGCAAGGCCGCCAACAACAAAGCCCCTCAAGCCCGCACGCGCCAACCTGAAGAACGGTCATTGGTATGAGGGTACCCCAGCGATCCCAGGTCTGTGTCATGCCCAGCTTCTTGGCAATGAGTGGCGCACGGCGCACAAGATGACTGCTCAGAGGCACCATCACATCCACGGGAACCTCTTCGGCCTGCGCTTGAGTGGATGCACACCGGTGTGGCCTGGAATTACAAGTGTGCGCGTAAAAGTGAGGCAGGTCAAGGAGGGACATGTGCGACCTTGGTTTGTGCCCGAAGCATCGGAACTTTGATGGAGGAATGGCAAAACGCCAGCCCGCACAAGTTTAAACGTACGTTGCCAGCTGCGCCGCTCGCTGAACAAGATGCTGACGCAGAGAGCTCAGCGCACCAAGCCCGCCGCGCGCCCACAAGCGCAAACCCGAGGCTGCCCCGGTCACTGCCATGCTGGGTCCAGCCATCCTGCCACAAGAACGAAACAAAAAAAGAAAAAAAAGAAGCACACACACGGGGGAGAGCGATAGCGGTCACAACAGTTGTTGTGGCCTTTCTCCTTTGATCTGTACTTTTACTCACACTTTCGCTCAAGAGTACTCTCTCCCTCTCTCTCCCTCTCTCTCTCTCTCTCTCTCTCTCTCTACATGTAATTCTCTCTCTCTCTCTCTCTCAGACTCTCAAACTTTTCTATCATCGCGGCATCATGGCCGACCCCAAGAGTCCAGGTACATGCGCGTCATTGCCCAGCACGGACAGCAGCCACTGTCAGGGTGTGACGACCACGTTGGCCTGACCTGGCCTGGATGGATTGTGATGTCCCTGTTTAGGCACCGGCAGCAATGCTGGCCAAGCTGCCATGTTTGGTGATCATCATGCCTACCGCGACTTTGTGCTGCAGCGGCTGATCGAGGTGGAGGACGATCATGCGCGCTGCTTGGCAGGTCTCAAGGTAAGCCAAACCCTGGTGTAGCAGCAGTAGACAAGCGTCATCTTCACGTGCAATCGTCGATAGCTTGAGCCACATCCTACTGCCCGTAACCGCCGACTCACGCCGCACCTTCGTCGTGCCCTTGATGCATCTAAACCTGATGGGGCTCCAATTGGGACTCAACGGTAGCATCGCTGGGCCACGCCGCTGGCCGAGGCCAGCTGGCTCGGTAAGCCCGACACCAATCTTTGTGTCCAGCCGTGCCTTGAGGCTCATGACCTGCAGCAAGATCTGCTGCACCAGCTGAAAAGTCAGCCAACCGAACTCGGTCGCTGCTACTTGGCCTTTACCACGCGTGTGCGTCGACGCTTGCATGGCCCCACGATCAGCGCACACATGCCCGCGACTGTTTGGGCTGTTCCGTTCTTCTGATTTATGTCTACTCTTTCCCTCAAACCTGTCCCAACAGTACTTGACACTGTATTACGCCCTCATGGCCAAGCACACCGAGATTGTTCAACGCTACAACGGTGGGTGTCGTTCAAAAGCACCACCGCTGCCTGCCACTGCTCAAGACGAAGGCCCAACCTGTCAATTCATCGTGGAATTCCAAAATTTTACGAGTGGCAGATCTATTGACACGGCTGCCATCTTTGCAAGAGTTTCACCAAGCACACCCTAGCCTGCAGTCGATTGAAGATGTTTACAACGCCATCATCACACACGCCGGCGAGCGCAGGTCTGGCCAGCCTGTTTGCCTGCCTGCCTCTCTCCCACGGACCTGTCCGATGTTTTCTGTTTCTTGACGCCGTGCCTCGTCTGAATTGGTGTCATTTGTGCAGCGTTTTGCTGGAAAACTTGGCCTCCCGCACAGATCGGCAAGATCCCCAGTATCGACTGATTCAGGTAGCGCTCATCGTAACCATCGCCATTGGGGTGCACTGCCACGCTTCGAGGCCATTCTGATTTGTTGGTGTCATTCACGACATGCGTGGTGCATTCGGGTGGTGATCCACGACTGGATTAGGTGGCCGCGTTGGTCTATACGCAGATCCGTCAAAGCGGCAATGCCATCGCAGCCACCTGTCAAGCTGAATATGCGCTGGCAGGTGCCGACGTTCTGGATCGACACGGTGCAAACCTACTTGAGAACGGTCGAATCCACCTCATGTCCAAGGTTGAATTACTGACGGATCACGTTGGACACGATTTTGACTCTGGTGAAGGCCAGGCCGCGGTGGCGCTCTTGTTTGAAGGCGCAGCCGTGGTGATTGGTGTGGAAACCAATGTCGAGGTAGGCCTGCCCCCTCCTTTGTTTTGGCCGCTGATCAAAGGCGCCAAAACCGGCGCCGTCTCCTATTGCCTGCGGGCGAGGCCTGAGGTGCTGTGCGTTTTGTTGTAGACGGGCGCTCGACAATATCGTCAACAACTGGCCAGTCCCATCAGTTCCCTTGAGGTTTGCGCCAATGACCGCCCGTGAGCGCGTGTCGTCGTTGGGCAAATTGTGTATCCAAGGCTAGATCTCACTTCACATAAACCCTAGGCCACGCTGGATCTGGGCGACGCTTCGCTGCGCACGATGACGCTCACAGCTTACGACGAAGGTCAGTTTCACGCATGCCGGCGCCTCGGCGAAGGCCTTCACGTCTCCGTGGATCGCCTGGTCGTCGCTGCCTTCGAGCCGGGTTCTTGTCAAACGCGCTGCCAACCGAGCATGTTGCTGGGAAATTTGTCTTTAGCCCGGGAGCTGCGGTTGCGCTTCGACGACGCGGACCGAGCGCGGCTCTTTTATTGGTCGGTGCATCGCGACTCGAGCGACACCAACACGTCAACGCGTCAAGCCAGGTCGGGTCGCCGAATGACCCGCAAGTTTTCACTGACCACGAGTGAAATGGCCAAAGAAAGCCAGGTAGGTCCATGCGACCCCACAACCGTGCACCTCTGCAGAACCAATACAGCTCACCGTCGGCATGTGTCTTGCTAGGAGAGCGGGTTGCCCTACACGGTCGTCTCCGCCTTTGCCGCGCCATGACTGCCAAGTCCATCTCCTTGTAAACGACCAAATCATCTGACAATTCCTGGACTACCTAAACGAACAATAGTTTAACCCTAATTTATCCGATCAACGCAATTCAACCTCCCATCTCAGCCGAAAACACCACACACTGAAGAAGACAAAAGAGCATCAAATCGAGACATCAACAAAAGAAAAAAATCATTCTCTCTCTTCTCTCTCTCTATTGCTCTCTCTCTCTCTCTCTCTCTTGTTGCTCGCTCATCTCTCTCTCTCTCTCTCTCTCTCTCTCTCTCTCTCTCATCTCTCTCCTCGTTCTTGTTGCTCTCTCATCTCTCTGTCTTTTCTGGTTTTCTTGCTCTCATCTCTCATCTCTCTCACCTCTCTCATCTCTCTCATCTCTCTCATCTCTCATCTCTCTCATCTCTCATCTCTCTCATCTCTTCACCTCTCTCATCTCTCTCATCTCTCTCATCTCTCTCATCTCTCTCATCTCTCTCATCTCTCTCATCTCTTCTCTCAAGTCGTCGCGGCACGCTCACGCTGTGGTGGCATTCAGCGTTCTTGGGTCTCGCGCTTTGACGCACCAAGAGGGTGGTGGTGCAGTGGCAGACGATAGACAAACAGCTCCGGCTCATCGCTTGGGTCGTGTTGGGATCCCGATCGCGTGCACTGTCCTTGTGGGCTGTACGCACTGCACACTGCCCACTGGAAACACGGGTTCCCGGCTACAACCTGGCTACCCTTTGGGTGATCTGCCCCAGTTGCTGCCGCGCGTGCGTGAGCTCTCCTCTTGTTCGTTGGTCCTGGATCCGCTGCCGATCAGCTTGCTTTGTTGGCAAAGTTGGCCCCATCTGTTGTTGATTGTTGGCTTGGAAGTTGGTACGTAGCTTTGTGTGTCACTGGCCCCGCCCCCGCTTGATGGTGGTGTCGTGTGGATGAGCTGTCAACAAGGGCACGAGAATCCCAAACTGGCTTATTGACATTCAACAGTCGTGGTGCGATCGGCCCGCTCACATGGCTGGCGTGCTTGCTGTCTCTGCGTGCAGGATTGTTGCACATTGTGCATCACCGCCACCATGCACATCTCCATCGCCGAGGTTGAGGAACACATTGAAACCAGGGTCAGCACCCCCGCCTCTGTCTGCCTCTGCTGAAACACACTCACAAACACGCCCTCCTGGCTCGCCTTCTTCCGAAAAGCACGTCTTGTTTGCCTCACCTCACGCTGCACCGATCACAGGAGGAGCGCCCTGCGCAGCCACTCAAATACGTGGCCTACAACATCCACATCAATGGCACCTACCACTGCAGCGTGCGGTTCAGTGATCTGCACAAGCTCCATGAGAAGCTAAAGCGCGAGTTTGGTGCAGGGGCCCTGGAAAAGTTCCCACCCAAGAACTTTCGCTACATGCCACCCGAGGAATGCGTTGAGCGTCGCTACTACTTGCAAAAGTGGCTTCAAAAGGTGGCGCAACAGCCCTTGATCTGCAATGGCACCACCTTCCAAACCTTCCTCCTCAACGCCCAGAAGGAAGTGCAAAAGGGCCCGGAAGAAGAGGTTGAGCTTGACGTGTACCTGGCCAACGGCAAGCGCATCAAGGTGGACATCATGTCCACTGACCAGACCGAGGATGTCCTTGAGACTGTGGCCGGCTTTATCGAGCTGCCGACCGCCATGACCTACTTTTTTGGTCTTTACTTGGTGGATGACATTGACGGCAAGGTCGTGATCCGCAAGCTTCAGGATTTTGAGTCCCCCTTCATCTCCCTCATGCGGGCCGAACCGCACCAGAAGATTCAGCTTCGCAAAGCCTATTACAACATCCAGCTGGACCAGCTCCTTTGGAACAACCCCATCGCCCTCAATCTCCTCTACATCGAGGCCATCACCGAGTTGAAGAATGGTCACATTCAGCCCACGCCAGATGCGCAGGCGCAGCTTGACCAGTACCGCAGTGAACGAGACCGGTTCGTCACCCCTTCTTGCACCGCTGGCTGCTTAAAGCATCTAAAAGGAAAGAAAGAAAAAGAAGAGATGTTTTGGATTGAACGGGGACCAGAGAGAAGAAAGTGAGAAAGGGAGAACGCAGCGATCGTGGCTTGCCCTCACACCCCGCTTGCACTTGACTTGACCAATGCAGCAAGGCGTTTTTGGAACTCATTCGGTCACAACCTGGCTATGGCTTTGTCAACTTTGGCTCCGCCACCACCAACTGGCCCGAGGAGAATGCATCCATGATTGTGACCCTGGGCAACCCAGGCAACAACAAGGCCGCAATTGTGCTCTGGGATAAGACTTCAAACAAGCCTCATGAATTTCTCGTTCAGCGCATGCGCTGTTGGCGCACCTACACCGTGGAGGAAGGCGTTGAGATGGAGTTTGAGTATCTGATGGACGTGGATGAAAATAACAAGCCCAAAGTTCGTGATTTACGCGTGTTGTTGCCCCCCCCCCCCCCCGTGACGACCTCGCCTCACCCTGTCCGTCATTCGCGTCGACTTTTGGCGTGCACCGTGCCGACTGACCCTGATCGCTGGCGTGCGCAGATGCAATGGATCAAGCTGCTTTCGGAGCAGACCATTCACTGCGCAATGTGCTTGCAGTTCATGGTTGAGGAGATGCTGCGCATCGCCAAGAAGCAGCCCATCAAAGTGTAGGTTCATCGTAGTCGCTCTGATCGTGTCCCAGCAGATCAGGCCTGGCCGGTGGAAGCTTTGACAAGGGCCTACATTCCCATGGAGCCTCATGTGCCTGATGCCTGTCATGATAGCCCCGCGGACCGGGAGGGCCGTTTCAAGCCTCGTCGTCAGTCTGATGCACCGCCTGACATGAGCTTTTTGGGCGCTGATCCCAACGACGAAGCTGCTTTCCGGTGTGTCCTCTTCATTGTGTCGTGCCGCTCGTGTACCAACCAGACTTCCTCGCTCGGGTTGCCACACACGATGGTTCTCATCCCCTTGGCTCGCCGCCAACCTGAGCAGCATTTCGGTCACCTTGTCAGACCTGATTCAAAAGGTGAAGGAAAGTGAGGCACAGGTATGTTGTGTGGCTGGTATCGGCCTGTGCCAGGTGTGGACGTCAGTACTAGCCAAGGCTGTGGCTTACTCAAAGTGGAGGTGCGCCAGAGGCCGCCTTCTCCATGACCTTCTCACCACCATCGCTTCGGTTTTGGCGATACAGAACCTTACGGGAGGCGGATTGAACGACGTGGAAGAGGAGGATGAGGATGGCGAGGACAATCGTAACAACTTTGCCGCCATTGCCGGCCTGGATTGAATCGGCTGATAGCCTTTATCAGCCCGACCCTCCTTTTTTTTTTTTTTTCCTCCCACGTCCCGGGGCTCGCAGGCGCGCCGGGGGACGCCCTTGTACATCCTGCTTCCACAGCCATGCTTGATTTGGCTTTTGTGTGACTGAGCTCTGGTTGTATTATTTTGGTTCTCGATTGAAGTAGGCCTTGCGTTGGTTTGATTGAAAACAGGTGCTGTGCGTTCATGTGTGTGGCGTGTGTCTTGTTGTCTACCGATATTTCTTCGTCCTTGTCGCCCCGTCGCCATGAACATGTGCTTCTTTACGCCTGTCTATTGGTTTTCCTCTCTTGCACGTGTGTACTCCCTTATGTCAGTTTTGAGTGGCCGTGTTCTGTGCCATTCTTTTTTTTTTTTTTTCCTTTCAGTCTCTCAATCCCACTTCTAGTCAGAATTGTTTTGCCATTGCTGTGATCACACCGCGTCTATTGGCATGTGCGATGCGCTCGCGTAGTTGGTTCAGCAAGCCAGGGGTAACGTCTGTGCTGATTGCTTTTAAATCTGAATTTTTATCGCCTTGGCTGACAGAGGCATCAACCATCAATAGTGAAGCCTTCGGCGATGGGCGGATTGTGTTAAAAAAAAAAACGAACAAAGGGGGAAAACAGCTAAAGCACATGCTTTGGAAAGAAAAGAAGAGGGTAGCGCAGCGATGCTGCTAGCAAGGGCAAATGTCTTAGAGGTCCTTGACCATCTTCTCCACAAAGTGACGGTAGTTCACTTGGCCATCGCTGTCCGGCTCGGCCGCATCCTTGACCTTGGCCAGCACATCCTCACTCAGGCCCTCACCGAGGTTCTTCATGATGTGTAGCAACTCGGTGAGTGACATGTAGCCGGCACTGTGCGAGTCAAAGGTCGAGAAGGCATCCATGGTCTCGTCAAAGTCAGCGACGGGCTAGCACCACACATAATGGTACACAGGGAGCAAACAAAAAAGCCAAGAGGTGAACAGATTGACGAGCATGCCGAGTATCTGAATGAAGTATACGGCGAGCATGAACAGAAGGTGCATACCGACGCGTTGAACAGCTCTTGGAACTTGGCGAAATCAACGCTGCTGGCGCCGCCAAGCAGCTCCTGAACACACGGCCAAAGCGAGCGGGAGCAAAGATGGGTGGTGAGCTCAGTTTGCCCAAGTCGACAACCACGAGTTGAGTGCAAGGGTGAAGTCCGGAGGCCAGGAGAAGAGCACGTACCTCAATCTCCTCGCCGGACGGGGCCTTGCCGAGGGTGCGAACGCCGGTGGCAGCGTCCTCAGCAGTAATGGTGCCTAATGTCAAATGTCAAATACGGTGCACGTGAATGAGCGAGGCGACAGCCAAAGCGTGTATGTGCGCAGGCGTCAAAGGAAAACGCAAGATAATTCCAGGGCATTCAAGACATACCAGAGTTGGTCTTGTCAAAGAGCTCAAAGCAGAGCTTGATATCTTCCTCGCCGACCGACATGATGCTATAGACCACAGAAGACGCAAGCGGAAGCGGGAGTGTCAGGATGAGGATGATGCATTGGAAATCGGCATGAGCAAAGACGGCTCGCTAGCCAGACCCGCGAGGCGCGCATGACACATGCAGTGTTTGAATCGCACTGCCACAAGCGCTCGCATCATTGGGCGTGACTTTGCCAAAAATTGTGCGAGCCACACGCTTGTCTGCATGTCTGCCTGCCTGCGTTACCTGGTGGTGATTTTGGGTAAAAACAGGAGATGACGACCTGAAAAACAGTGGGCGGGTGCGTGACAAGGATGATTGGTGGTGAGACCTCTCGATCAGCAAGGCAGACACGTCATCTCAAAGCACATTGCCCGCCTCTCCCTTGACCACTGCCCCAACTGCTCACAACGATCTTGTCTTAAAACACCCGCTTCCGCCCCGTGACCGGCCTCCCTCCTGACCGGCCCGCCGCCATTGAGCACCAGCCGCAGTGCCACAGACAGACAGAGCGCAAGAGAGACAGAGAGAGAGAGGCAGAGAGAGCGACAGAGACCAAGGTAGATAGAGAGATGGAGACAAGAAACGGAGCCAGAGAGAGACAGAGAGCTAGAGATAGCCCACAGCGACAGAGACAGAGACAGAGACAGAGACAGAGACAGAGACAGCGACAGAGACAGAGACAGCGACAGAGACAGAGACAGACAGAGACACAAAGAGAGAGAGGCAAAGAGGGTTGCACAACAGAGTACACCAACCTTCAGAAGCTTTGAGAAAACCAAATGGAACTCAATACCCACTGGACTTCCAAAACAAACAAAAGGAGAGGGGAATGTGCTCTGCTCTCTCTTTCTTTGGCGGGAGGGGGGCGGAGGCTGGCTAAACCGTGTATAACCTGGCGCAGAAAAATGCATAGCATACTTATACAGTTTTATCCGTCAATCGGGATTTAAGCTGACGTTGTTGCTGCTCAGAAGTGCAGAAACGGTCACACTTCATCACGTCAAACTTGTCAGTGGGTCACGAGCGGCCGTAAAGTAATCTCAGCCTCCTCAAAATAAATCCAAGCAAAGGTATCGTGTGCATATGTGCATAGGTAAACGCTTCTCGAATGTCAGATCAACACTTGGTAGCCAGCAGGCAGCCTGGACTTTCTCTCCTCTCTGCCCCGTCGCCAGAAGCTTACCCTCTTCTCTGCTTACCACATGCTTTTCCAACGATACCGCCACCACATCCACATCCAACCTCTATCCAACACACCTCTCGCCTCCCGCCTCTCTCCCCCCTCTGCTCACGACGAGGCGGTATACGTGTGTGGACCCGAGAGAGCAACACTCTCTCTGTGGTGCGGTGCGTGTGTGTGCGGCACTGCTTCTCTCTCTCTCTCTCTCTCTCTCCTCTCTCTCTCTCTCTCTCTCTGTGGTCGCGGTCTCTGATATTTTGAGATTGACGGTGCCCGCCTCGACTGATTGCTGCTGGTATCAGCATCAAGAAGCATTTGTTGGCCGAGGAAGGCGGGGGTTGACTGCGCGTTGATCAGACCCCCTTCTCGTATTGCATTTGTTGTGGCACACAGCGAGACCCACTGCCGATTCCAGTCGAGCTACACAGGAGCAGCACCGCCGTTGCCGACCAGCTCCAAACAGCTTTCAGCGCCTCGCACCCAAGAACGCTGCTTGCTGCCACCCACCACGCTTTAACCAACATCCAGGCAACACGGCTCGCCCCCTGCTCCCTTGTACTTCTTGGAATTATTCGTGATCCAACGCGAATTGGTCGGGTGCAACCAGTTTGGTTGCGCCACCTTTGTGGAGTTCCTTCCGCCCGGCAGTCCTGGCCAAACACCCCCTGTCGCTGAAGTGTCCCAGACTTCCCAATCACGAGACGCGAGACTTTGCGCCGGAATCCTTTGGTCATAAAGCGGGCGCAACTGCTTGTGCCACCTGAGCTGCCACCAGTCACACTCCCTGGACAATTTGGACAAGAGCACCCCGACTCCCAACTTCAATCTCCGTCATGGCGCAGGTTGGCCCCTCGTTCAGGCCCGGCAACGCTTCCATGTTCCGCCACCGTTACCGTCTCGATAAAACTGCCCGCTTACAGCATGCATGGCGAATCTTTTCCCATCTTTCCCCAATCAACTTGACTAGACTGCCAACGGCCGCGACATGCGCCAGCTCAAGCTCTGCGTCAAGCAAGCTGAACTCACATCACGCCCAGGCTCCTCCGCCCCAGGTTGGCACATTTTATCAATCAAGGCCCCTTTTTTTCCGTTTCCTCCGCCATGCCAACTGTCAAAGCTAAATGGCGTGCCCTTGCCATCTTTTGCCCGCTGCCATAGACACTTATTGCGAGGTGGCCGTCAGTCAGGGCACAGCAGCGCCATCGGAAGTCAAAAAGACAGACGTGCGCAAGCACTCATTTATTCCCCGTTTTGACACCAATCATTTTACTTTGTACGCCTGCTCTTATCATCCCCCCGCCTTCTCCTTTACTTCACCGGCGCCACACCACCATTGAGCTGACTGACCCGCGATTTGTTGCAACCGTCTCTCCTGCTTGTGGTTTAGCTTGGTCAATGCTGAAACAGTCCTGACCATGACTGTCAAGGCCCGTAGCAAATTCCGGGCCGACTCGATTCTAGCTCTCACCAAGCTGAATGTCACTGATATTCCCTCGGGCGCCACCCAAGGCCATCAGATGGACCTGCGTCAACCCCTGCGAACTGAGCAAGGCGCTGCTGCTGGTTTCATCACTCTCCAAATCGGCCTCGCCGGGCAGAGCTACCAACCCGCCACTGCTGCGGCTGCAAATCCTGCTGCCGCACCGACCCCTGCCGCCAGCGCTGGCGCCATCACTCTGCCGCCAGTAGAACGCATTAACGATCTCCCGACCAGCCAGGGCATGCCAACCGGTGCGATAAGACCGTCCTCGCTCGCCTCGACCCATGACGCTGTTCACTCACCCCTGGTTGTCGGATTGCCTTGCTGATGCTACGTTCCTCTTTTCTTTCATTTCTTCATATCCTCTTGTTTTCCACCCTTTTTTTTTTTTTTTTTTTTTTTTTTTTCCTTGTGCCATGCTGCGCTAGGCTGGGAAATTCGTGCCACTGACCAAGGCCGCCTTTATTACGTCAACCACAATGATCGCACCACCTCGTGGCAGCCACCAGGCATGTTCACGACAACACTCCCACTCACCCCCGTTCCCCACCCCCCCCACCCACCCCCCAGAGTATGGCTGACTTGGCGATTTGCTCTCCATAGTTTCGGCTAGTCCGGCCACTTCGAACCCAGCCGCCCAGCAACCCGCCGTGGCCCCAACGGCCGTCAGCGCGGGTGGTGTTGCTGGTGCCACAACAAATGCCGACTCGACCAGTGGGAGCGACGCTGTGGGCCGGGTCACTAGCGATGAGTTTGGCGAATTGCCCGAGGGTTGGGAAATCCGTCGCGATGCTCGTGGTCGCGTTTACTACGTCGATCACAATTCGCGCTCCACAACCTGGCAACGCCCCAATGCCGATCTCCTCAGCCAGCGCCGCCAATTTGCTGCGGGCCAGTACGTATCACCGGCACCATTCTTGGCCCCCTGCTCGTTTTTCGCGCCAGCTCTTGCCGTCCCAAACCTTGTCACTGATGCCGCGCTCGCTCGGTCAATCTACAGAACCACTCTGGCGCAGGCTGCACAGCAGCATGGACAGCGATCACTCGGCTTTTCAAGCTCAGTGGAGCAACAAGTTGAGCCCCACGATGATCGGGGACCATTGCCACCCGGTTGGGAGCAGCGGCAGACCCCCCAGGGGCGAGCCTACTACGTCTATCACCCTGCTCGCCACACGCAGTGGGAGGATCCGCGTCTGCAGGATGCCATGGCTTCGGTCGAGACCATGCCGTTGCCCGCCGGCTGGGAAATTCGCAGCACCACCGATGGCCGACGTTACTTTGTCGACCACAACACACGATCTACCACATTTCGAGACCCCCGCCTCGACCTGGCAAAGCGAGGTCCGGACAAAAGCATTCCACAATATCATCGCGAATTCAAGCACAAGGTTTGGTGCCTACACAAACACTACTGCCCCCAGGTCCAAGGCCAGTTCAAGATGCCTATTCGCCGCAGCTCTCTCTTTCAGGACTCCTTTGATTGCATCATGAGCGAGCACCCAGATGAGACAGGCTTTGTTAACACGCTCAAGGTATGCCCGACACTAGATCCGCACGAGATCCGCCTGTGCCTACTTCTCCACCAATGCCCCTCATTCACCGGATGCCTCTGCTCTTCACGCCTTTTGCAGCGTCGCTTGTTCATCACTTTTCAAGGCGAGCAGGGTCTGGATTACGGTGGTGTTGCGCGCGAATGGTTCTTCCTCATTTCCCACGAGATGCTGGACCCCATGTACTGCCTCTTTGAATACGCCACCGCCAACAATTACCAGCTGCAAATCAACCCCAACTCCCACGTCAACCCAGAGCATCTGCAATACTTCCGCTTCGTGGGCCGCGTCGTGGCGCTGGCCATCTATCACAAAAAGTTTATCGACAATGGCTTTACCCTTCCATTTTACAAGCGCCTCTTGAACAAGAAGCTTGTCTTGCAGGACTTGGAGACGGTTGATCCTGACTTTTACAAGAATCTGTACTGGTTATTGTGCGTCCCTTCCCATGCATGCCGCTGCACCCGTTACGCTCGATTCAACTGACTGTCCGTTTCCTTTTCTGACACTTTGACTTGACTCGGTTGACCCGGTGCTGTGTGCGCTCAGGAATAACGAGATTGACGATCTTGAACTCGGCCTTGTATTCACGGCCGATTCCAACGAGTTTGGTGCTGTCAAAGAGGTGGAGCTCAAGGCTGGGGGCAAAGACATTGAGGTCACCGATGCCAACAAGCAGGAATATGTCGAGTACGTACCCTGTTTCTCGCCGGCTTGCAAGGCTCGACAAAAGCCTCTCGGCTAGCCGTGTTTTGGCCCTTGTGCCAGTCAATCGCTTCATGAAACTGACTTGGCATTCGCGCCCATATCACGCCCTGCAGGCTCATGGCGAATTTCCGCTTGAAGCGGGGTGTCGAAGAGCAAACCGAGGCCTTCCTCATGGGCTTCCATGAGATTCTGCCTCATCAGGCCATTGAGTTTTTTGACGAGCGTGAGATGGAGGTGTGTTGGCGTCTGCTTAGGCGCCTTCGTGTCCTGTGTGCAGAAATGGCACATCCCTTGTGTTATGTACCCGACCAAAACGCTCAGTCTCACGTGCTCTCCGGTTTTGGCATATCCTGTAGCTGCTTTTGATCGGCATGGCCGAGTTTGACGTGGATGCGTGGGAAAAGCACACCATTTATCGCAACTATCGCAAGAAGGATCGTCAGGTCGCTTGGTTCTGGGAGGTACGTGCCTGCCAATGGCCCCTGCAACCTTGTCCATGCTTCTTGCGCCACCATCCCCTCTTTTCTTCCTTTGTTGTTCAAGGCCTTCGCGCTTTCTCACTTTTATCAAATTTCTTAGGTGGTGCGCGAATTCACGCAAGAGCAACGGGCTCGTTTGTTGCAATTTGTGACGGGCAGCTGTCGCCTGCCCGTGGGTGGTTTTGCCGAGCTGCAGGGCAGCAATGGACCCCAACCCTTTTGCATCGAGCGTTATAACGATCACGGAGCGCTGCCGCGCAGCCACACGTGGTATGTCCCACATAACCTTTCCGCAGTTTGCTTTGGCAAACGCAATTTTCCAGCAGCTCACCTTTGACGGCATGCTTTGTCCTTCAGCTTTAACCGCCTCGATTTGCCACCTTACAAGACGAAGGAAGCCATGAAGCAAAAGTTGACCATGGCGATTGAGGAAACTGAAGGCTTTGGTTTGGAATAATTAAGGGCCCTTTTGCCAGGCGGTGCCGTTCAAAAGAGTCCAAAAACAGTTTGTGGTGCACATCAAGGCCTGCGCTGTGCTGCGCGCCATCGTGCGGATGCTTGGTTTGTGTTTGTTTTTGCGCTGTGTTTTGGTGGGACAACCAGTTTTCTGCGTGTTGCATGGTGTCTGCCGTGGTCCCTGTACTTGGCTACTTGCAGCGTGTGTGTGCTTTATTTGATGCACCTCTGTTGTCATAATCAAACGTGCGCGTTCAGAATGCTTAAAAGAATAACAAAGAGGCTAGAAGACACTCTCGATTAGTGACTGGGCAAGCAGGGTAAAGAAAACAACAAAAAAACAAAACTTCTGTCTCCTCTCAGACCAGGACAGTTGAAAATATACACACATGGTCCTCCCCTTGACCGCAGCTAGCCAGTGACCAAACAAAAACAAGGGTGGATGACTGATGCTCCTGAATTGGGAGATCCGCCTCGCAACGGCCGTTCGCGCATCGTTCTTGACATCAAAACCTTGTGCTCATCAACAGGCATGCGCGACTCATCATCTTCGCACACTGGTGGCACCACGTGCCTTGCGCACGGAAGGCTGCGTCATCAGCTGCATATGATGTGAAGCGATCGCACACAGAGCATGAGCACACTGGACGAACACAAAACCGCCCATTTCTGCTTTTGCAGCACCAACGAGCCACCCAAACCACATACCTGAGAGCCCGTATCCTGCAGCGTTTTGTTGAGCTGGCGCAAGCGGGCCTCGGAGTTTTCGTCAAGCACCTCGCCGTGGTGAGCTTTGAGCAACTTTTGCTTCACCAGGTCCTCCTGCTCAGCGATCTGGGCACACATTCGGGAGCGAAGCTCCTGCAAAGACATGTAGTTCTCATCCTGGTTTTGATGGGTCACACTAATGTGCACCAAAAGGCTGGCAAGCTCAAAGGGCTCGTTGGCACCGTTTTTCAACACGATGGCGCGATAGCCCGTGCGCAAGGTCTGGCGCTTCTCTGATCCCAAGGGAAAGCAGGCCTGCGCAATGGCGTTGGCTTCACCAAAGATATCTTCGTCCAGCACAACAATGCGCATGGTGGCGAGATCTTGCATGCTGACGTCAAAGGCACAGTCAGAGTCCCAGGTCGGGTTGAAGCCATTGTCAGGCACCGTAGGCGTCTTGAACTTGTTGTGGTCGTTCTCAACGCCACACATTTCCAGCTCCACCAGCGGTGAAGTAGTGCCTCGCGAGGTTTTGGGTAGGTGGCGTCCCGCAATCACCTAGTAACGAGCAGCACCGACGTAAGTTTGGCATCAATCAAAAAAAAAATCAACAAGCACCAAAGGAGGGAGAGCAGCATGCGCCCATTGGAGGCGCTCTATCCAGTTCGAGGAGACGAACAGACCTTGATGGTTACGGCCACGGGGCGAACATCATCGGCAAAGGAGCGATACTCGTAGGGATTGAAATCCAGCTTCAGCAGACGCTCAGGCTTGAGCACATAGCCACAGCGGCCGTTGCGCTGGAAGAAGCCATGGTTCAGCCACATGGGTCGATCGCCAGTTTGGTAGTTGAGGGCCACCAACTGCACTCCGCAGTTCCACATCATTTGCGGGTCATAGTTGCTCGAATCGACACGCTTGCCCTGGGGATACACGCGCGCAAACTGGCGAATGCAGTAGTTTGACATTTCCTACGAGGTCGACAGGGGAAGAGTGATGCAATTGAACGCTCGAAAATAGCGGGATGACAAGAGGCCGAAGGGCCGAACAAAACTAAAACGACACCGTTGTCGTGGCAGAGGGGAGAAACAAACCATGGGTTGGCCGCCATTTTGTTTGACGAAAGACAACGCCTTCTTCTCATTGAAGGAGGACATGTTGTAGTATTCCTCCTTTTCCGAATCGGCAAAGCTCTGGAAGCGCACCGAACGCGAGTAGTAGATCAGATCTGACAAATCCAAGTGAATGCGCAGCTTCTTGTTGCCCCGCGCCTGCTTGGCCGACCTGTGAACATCCCATGGACAAAGGGCTGTCAGCCTCGGCATGAAGCCGCAAACACGCACACACGCACACACACACGTACTTTTGCTGAAGCTCATGAACAGCCAACTCGATGGCCTTGATCCAGTCGTTCATATCGTCCTCACTGTCGGCAGCTGCGTCAAACCCTTTGTCTGGGCGCAGAAGGTCCATGATACCAAAAATGTACTGCTGGCCGCCGCGTGGCTCGCGCGGCACAATCTGAATGTGTTTCAACTCGACAAACGCCTTCTCCAGCGAGCCCAGCAGGTTTTCGTGGTCATCTTCCTCTTCCTTGGCCATGCGGCGGTGATCAATCTCTTCGACATAGTTGCTTGGAAGCCAGCCACCGATACGTCCGCCGTAATCGCCTTGCCACCACCCGCCATCCTTCTTCACCACGTTGGTAATGGTGGCACCGGCCGGGAACGAAAGCTCGTCTGGCTGCGCGGCCGCATATGGGTACAGGGCACGGCAGTTGACGTTGGTGTTGTTGCTGGTCATGCCGGTGGGGTTGGGCTGTTGGTAAAGATCGTCCGAGCGGTAAATGTCTTCTTCGGGTTCAGTGCCTTGCTCGCGCAGCAGCTTGTCATCAACAGGATAACGCAACTTCATGCGTCGGTAAAGGGGCTTGCGTTGGAAGTAGTCAACCAGGGCTTCCAGAGTCTCATATTCGGCATCGCCGATGCAAAACATGCGACCCTCCTTCTGAATGCGGCAGTGCTTGATCTTGCCCTCGGCGCGGAACGAAATGGCAAAGTTGGTGGGTTGCAGCTCACTGGAGCGGATCAGAAAGGCGCCGTCAAAGTTTAAGCGCTTGAGCATATCTTCGGCGCCAGCACGAGTGATGTACTTGTGAAACCAGTTCTTCTTCTCGTGAGAGGCGGGCTGTGGCACTGCTTGTTGGAGCACGGCAGTAAAATCTTTGCCTCGCAATGGCACCATGCGATGGTATTCAATCAGTTCGTACAAGCTGTCAAAGGCCACCTCATCCGTGAGGTAGTATTGCTCGTCCCGCAAGCGGATGCGCACGTGTTGCGGCTGTCCCTCACGCACAAAAGACAAGGTGTATTCGCCTCGGAAAGTGCCCGAGTCACGGACCAAAAAGGTGCCCTCCTGGTCGCGATAGAGACGGAGTGCATCCTCGGAGCGATCACGGTCGATATTACCGTGGTACCAGGGTTCGGAAAAATGGAGATCAGCCTCGTTGGTAGGCACAGCATCCTGCTGCTCATCCTCATCCTCCTCATCCTCGTCGTCCTCGTCGTCCTCAATCTCCGCATAAAACAGACGCGAATCGCTAAGCGCAAAGTAGTGCTTGTACCAGGTTGAGTTAATGTGGTCCTCGAGGTGCAAGGAGCCGATTTTACGCGTAAAAGCCAGATCATCCTCCATCTGCGGGCACAAGGAAGACCATGGAGAGCGAGAGTGTGAGAAGCGCCGTGGCACACAGTGCATCGCCTCGGCCGCGTCGATGGTGTGGGCGTTGACATGCTGTAAAAACGTACCTTGTGGCTAGACTCGACGGTGTCCGTGTCACCCTTCAGCTTTTTGTGCTTGATGATGATGCGATGGCGAAGTTGGTCGGGGCTGGGGTAGCAGTCGCGCATGGGGTCATCACAACCATCGACAGGCTCAATGACGAGCTTTTCGGCAAAAACGCGCTTAAACTCGTTGGCCATGAAGAGCTGTTGCGACACGCTGCAATGATTTTCGATGGACAGGATCAAGGGGTAGTCGGAGGTGACAAACGCGTTGGCCTTGATGGCCTCCAGCACGTCGTGGAACTTGATTTTGGATGTTAGTGTGTGGCCATGATAAACAATGGTCTCGTTATTCGGGCCATCCCAGCAATCAATCTCCAAGCAACGGCAGCCATCGCGGAGGCATCGCACATAAGCCTCGGTTGAGGATTCACTGCGCAGCTGATCACCCATGAGGTAGGTGTTGTGCGAGGAGGCAATAAAGTAACAAGCCAGCGGGTACGACATGTCTTGATAGACCAGATCCTCGTCAGGATTCCAGAGGCTGTTATCAGCCGAGAACAGGTACTCCACAAAGCGCTGAAGGGTAATCGTGGTACCATCCTCGGCGCCCCATTGCTTCATGACATCGTCCACCTTGGCTTGGGAGACGGTAGATTCACCCTGCTCCTTGATGAAAAAGGTCTTGACATCGGCTGCTGTCAGGGCCGTCCTGTCGCCGAGGAGGATTGACAACAATGAGATCAGAAGTGTCCCGTGCCTGGGATGGGTTGCACCCAAGAATACAACGAAATGGATGGCTACTGACTTGGACGGCATGGACGAAAACTGTTGGAAAAAGTTTGTAACACTCTTGGCCTCCACGATATTGTGGTAGAGCTGCTTGAACCCGTCCTTGCTGATGGCAGAGCTACCTTTGGAAACCTACACGCAGGAGCAACCACGCGTCAAGAGCCGCAATGCCAACGAGCGCTTGCCCTGAATCTGAGTGGGGAGAGGCCGGAAAGGGCTGCCTTGCGGGGCTTGGTCCGTACTGCGTCAAAGAAGTCGCGTAGCTCGCGGTTGGAGGGCTTGAAGTTGACTTTTGACATCCAAGCTCGAACTTCGCGCAGGTTGATGCTGTTGTTCGACTCCATGTCTTGCCATTGCAACTCAAGCCAACGGTCTAGGACCATACTCGGCCTGTGTGTAGAACCCCAAAAAAAGATATGGTTCGGGACAGGACGACCATCAGTGCACGAGGACTCAGAGAAGCATTCGGTGGAAGCAACGACGTGGAGTTATTCAGGAGCACCAAAGGTAGCAAGCGCAGTAGTTGCACAACATGCGTACAAGACACGCTAGCCTTTTTGAAGAAAAAAACGAAAGAACGGCAAAAGAAGAAAGAACAAACAGTAAAGGACAAGGACGAGGCCAATTTTATGGCTCAAAAGGCGTACCGATACAGGGCCGGCTGGACATGGCGAGCAAAGGCCCACAATCCTTCGGCCCATTGCTGTACAATTTCCGGGCTTTCCGCTGAAGAGGGAAGAAGGAAAAATAAAAAGCAAGCATCGATGCGGAGCGTCGAGATCGTGAGAGGAAAGCCAGCCGGGCGAGACTCGGCCAGATTACGCGATGTAGATGTGCTTTGGGTGCACACAGCAAAAGAATGACTCACCCACGATGCAAAACTGTTTCAAGCGAAACTCGGCGCCATGTAGAATAGTCATGCAGCACTCTTTGTCCACACCGTCGCTGAGGGCAGAGGACATGCGAAACTCCTGTGTGAAAAGAAGTAAGTAACAGGCCACATGAGCAGTGAAGAAGTGAGAGGGAAACTTTGGGCGGCTGAAGGTGAGCAGCCAACGGAGGATAGACGCCTGATGTCTAGCACATGGCACTCGCCACAAAGGCTCACCTTGGTGTTGAAGGCATCCTCCCCAATGCGAATTTCTTGGAGGAAGAAAAGATTGACTGCAAACGCCGCACACACCCAATGACGTGAAGCAACATAAAGATCAGTTCTCGGGTACGAGGTGGCCTGTGGGGTCTGGTTGGGTGGATCGCTCGCTGCAAGGAACCAGTGGAACGACGTGCTGGCGGCAAAGCGAAGTAGAGGGAACGCGGGGGGGTGCACGGGCACGCACTCGATGCGGTGGGACGGCCTTCAGTGGAACCACCGGTGTAGTAGTTGATCTGATAGGTGGTCAGATCGAGGCGCAAATGGACGCTTGAAGTCTTTTTGTTGCTCAAAAACCGGGTAAAGGGGGTGCCTTCAGTGGCGGTCAGGGCGGTCACGAGCTCCTCGAGGTTTGCAGGAACCTTGTAGTTGCGGACCATGGGCGGAATCTGGGGCTCTTCATGCCGGGTCTTGGAGCGTAGGAGCCAGCGCGAGAGACGCTCATGCGGGGTGGCAGCGGCATTGGTAGCAGCAGCCACGGCCGCAGATACGGTCGTGTTACTCGTCTGATGCTTGAGAGTGGCAGATTTCTTGTTTTTGGCAGCCACACTTTTGACGGCGCTCGCGGCTGCGGATTCGGTTTGTGACGCGTCACTATCAGACCGAGACTCTTTGGTCTTTTTCTTTCCAAAAGGCCAAGGCATCTTGGCGGTGACTGTGGTGATTGGGGGAGGGCGGTGCAAGTGGAGAGGGAAATTCCCCAAGTCAGGTCAGAAGACACGAGTGGCAGAGCAAGGGAGGCGGAGCCAGGGTGACCGAGATTGCGATCGGGAGCAAACAAACGGACGGTTGGTGCAACGGGCTGCTAGCAGTCGATAGCTAGATCACGGCACGCCAGACTTGACAAGATGTGATGGCACTACTGGGAGTGGACGCAGCAGCTGCTGTGCTGAGGGTCCCCCAACTCGAGCTGGTCAAGTCGCTCGCAATGCCTATGTCAATGGACAAGCCGTGATGGTGACGGGCAACAAAACACCACACCCAGCGAACCGGCTCTTTTGAGAGATTGATATGTGCAGCTCAACGCAGGCATGGAAGCGAAGAAGAGAACAAGGAGGAAGAACTCATGCCAGACGGGCCTCGAGCTCGAATCATGGATCTCACGGCAGAAGACGAATCTCGAGAGGACGTGCAGTTGCGTACCTGCACACCACAATTCAGGCGTCGCGAGATGCGGGCCAACTCCTCCCGCACCACTGCTGCCACTACTCCAACCACCACCACAACCAGCAGCTGCAGCTGCAGCCAGCCAGCCAGCCAGCTGGATCAAGCAGGAGGTACGCACAGTGCCAACAGCGGGAGCACAACGCGACAGAAAGTAAAAAAAAGTAAAAAAACACACACAAGAGGGGAAGAGGTCAAAGAGTGGAATGGCAGTGGCTCTCTGAGATACTCATCTCTCACCAATTCATCGCTCTCTCTCTCTCTCTCCCAAACTCTCTCTCTCTCTCTCTCTCTCTCTCTCTCTCTCTCTCTCTCTTTCTCTCTCTCTCTCTCTCTCTCTCTCAAACTCTCAAACTCTCAAACTCTCAAACTCTCAAACTCTCAAACTCTCAAACTCTCTCTCAAACTCTCTCTCTCTCTCCTTTTGTTGGTCTTTGTCAACTCTCTCTTTATTCTCTCCTCTCTCTTTTGTTCTCTCTCTCTTTTGTTCTCTCTCTCTTTTGTTCTCTCTCTCTTTTGCTCTCTCTCTTTGTTTGTTCTGTGCCAGATCTTATGTTGTGTAGGTCGGGTGTGTAGGTCGGGTCATCTGAGCAAGATGAGGGCATGGGTAGCAACCCAAAGACTCACAGCACGTCTAACTGGTGGTCAACACATCGAGAGGGCAGTGCTGCGTCCTACGCGCTCGATGTGACGATGGCGCTGCCATTCTCCACCCCAGCTGTGGGAATCAACATCCTCTGGCTTGAACCGCCCACTATAAATTTTTTGCGATAAAATGATACAGAATTTGCGATCTGACATCCGATTCTGGACTTGGGGCGGAGAGCGGACAGATCGGCAAGGCACTCCTCTTCCTAAATCGCTCGCCACAGAGGCTGGCAGCAGAACCCGGTCTAAGGCATGATGGTTCACAGTGTCCGAGTGATGCTTCCTATAACACCGCCCTGATTTGAGAACATGGACCGTTGCGAGTCAACTCTCAATTGGCGATCATTTATGACGAAAAAGCATGATGACAAACAAAACAATAAAAAAAACTCGGTGAAATGATATGGGTGTTCACACAGTGGCCCTGTGCCACTCGACGCCTCTGATAAACACGAGCAGATTTGGCCCGGTCTCTCTGGACATGGCTCGGCCAGCACTGCAACAAAGTCAAGACAAAAAATTAAAACCGTCAAAGCTTTGCAAACTGTTCAGATGCCCCTGTCAATATAAAATGCCTACAGTCATACCTTTATGCTTTTTCCAACGAGCCGGCAAGAGGATGTTTGCCACAGACCCAGGGAATGCCCGAAGGACAGCCTTCACCCGAAGAGTCGGTGGAATGCCATTGGCACTGACAAGCATAAGCCCGCCACCCTAATGTTGCAACCACAATCGGCAGTTACAAATCGGATTGACGCTCACACACCCTGCATTCGCCGAACCGAGCTGTCTTACCCGGGAGGGCATCAATCTTGGTGCTGAGCTTGACCCGATTCGGGACGTAGTTTCGAAAAAAGAGAACCTCACTACAGTTGGCATGACGTGCACAAACACTGCACCATGAGGTCCCGTGTGGAATCTCAGGTGTGGAATCTCAGGTGTGGACGGTTGTCCACATGCTTGACTTGTGTCAAAAGTACAAGCATGGCGACCACGTACCAGTCGGACTGCCAGCGCGCGTCTTCAAAGTGGAGGACGGCATGATCGCACTTGGTGCAGCGCGCACGGTCACAAGCTCTGGAGATCGGCAGGCACCACGCCATGATCATCATGAGCTTAAACAAGCAGGGCGCAGCAACGATCCTGTTCGCGCACTCGAGCCAAGCGCGTCTGAGATCCCGTGTCGAAGCATACCTGGGCCGAGAACCGGTGGAAAGGCCCATAGGGGTGCAAGAGCCCGCAAGAATCAGGCGGTTGCATTTGACGCGTCGTGCCGCTGAGCTCAACCGCCCTGCGCCCGACTGTTTGAAGCACGGCAACAGACATAGCACCGAAAAGAAGGGACGGACAAACAGTCCAAAAAAGACAAGGACAGCAGCAGACAAAGAGAAAGAACGTCAAGCCTCATCATCTTGCGTACATGACGACAGAGCCAGCGTTTTCACCAAACATACCTTGGTCGAGCCATATGAGCTGGTGCTGGTGGCCAGAGCTGAGCTGCCAACCGGATGGGGTCGCGATCGCGTCGCTGAAAGGTCGGCCAAATCAGACAGCAGGCTAGTTGCTTCAGACTTTGGCGAAACAGGGTTCTCAGAAGGGGTGAGCGAGGAGCGCCGCGGTGAGCGCCTCACGGCGCTGGGGGAACGCGCCTGATGAAGGCGAGCTTGATTGGGCCGCACGGGCTCAGAGATGCCTCGAACTCGTCGAGTGGCTGGTTTTTTGGTGAAAAGACTCTCTGCTTCATCCAGCAGGGCATCCAAATCGTCCATGGCCGCCATGGTTACGCCCCACCATGCACTCAAACTGAGCACGTGGATACAAGGAGTGTGTAGGCAGCCCGCTCGACGCGCACTTTGACTGCCCGGTGTAGAGGGAGTGTCAGAGCTGTGCGCTTGTCACAGGAATGAATGGCAGCCGAACAACAACCACTTAGGGCTGGAGACTTGCAGCAGCAGCCATGATACTTTCCGCTCACTCTCCAGTTAGCGACGCGTTGACAGCTAGCCACAGCCTGTCCAACCGCCGTCAGTTGCACAGAACAGAACCAAAATCAACCTCCTGTCATTCATGCATTCAAGAATAACGCCAAGGAAAACACGCAGTGAGGGCTCTGCCCCAGCGAGGAAGGAACAAACAACCAGCCATCAAGCCGCGACGGGAGCGGGCAGAGCGCTCGTGACAGCGAAAATACTGTCCGTGGGCTCTCTCCATCCCCGCCATCGTTCAAACAACATGCCTTTTATCATTCTCCACTTATAGAGCACCAAAGCACCCTCTCACAGTCCATCCAAGCGCCTCACCCGCCTCACCCACCTTCAAAACAGACACTCCACGCACGCCGTCCTCACAGCCGCCACCTCCCATCCGCACCCGAAAAAAAAAATTTAAAAATCAAAGAGAGAGAGTTTGAGAGAGTTTGAGAGAGTTTGAGAGAGAGAGAGAGAGAGAGAGAGAGAGAGAGAGAGAGAGAGAGATGAATTGGTTTGGTCGGTTTGAGAAAGAGAAATAAAGAGCGAGAGAGAGAGTTTGAGGGAGACAGAGAGACAGAGAGAGAGACAGAGTGAGAGAGAGAGAATTTGCACTTGCCAACCAGTTTGGGAAAAAACGAACCGCCAGCAACAAAAAGCTGACATTTCGTATCCTATAAATAGAATAATGTAGGCGAAAGCAGTGACTGTAGTGGATTCGATCGGCTGAAGCTGCTGGAGCTGTTTCTGTACAAACCTCTGGCGTGTGGGGTGGGTGCACGCACTTGCTCTGATTTGGCTTTGGTTTTGGCCTGTGCCCCTTTTGCAAGTGTACAGTGTCTCTAGCATAGGCACCTCGAATCTCCCTCCTCTCTCACACCAACTCATTTTGGCGCTGATTGAGCGTTGCGCCACTGAATTTCTCTCTCTTCTCTCTCCCTCTCTCTCTCTCTCTCCCTCTCTCCCTCTCTCTCTCTTCCCTTCCTCTTGCTCTGCGCCACCTCACTCTCACACAAGCTTCAAAAGTTGTCGAGGTAAAGAGGAGGGTTGACGCTGGGCGGGAAAGGCGTCTGTGCATAGATCGCCATGGATGCCGTCGAGGCCGTGGCCGACGTCTTGGCCATTCTGAATGGTACGTAAACAGTCGCTAGCCAAGAATCAATATGGCACGAGCATCATCGTACCTCGAGCAACGCTCAGCCCTCATGCCTGTTGACATGTCCTCTGTTCGTCGCGCTTGATGCCATCAACCTGAACCACGGCACTACCATTCATAGAACTCGAACCTCAGCCTGCAGCAGCGGGCAGCGACGGTGCCGATGCTTGGTGGTCTTCCCTTCTCGATGATCTTGGTGACATCGAGCCACCAGCACCAGAGGTCGTCATCCCCATCGAGCAGCCGTCGACATCCGCGGGAAAAGATCTGCCCAAGGCAACTGCCGAGAACAAATCTGAAGCTCATTCAGAACCCGTTCAAACCACGGCCATGCCAGCGCGCCTGCAGCAATCCGTGCGCCGACGAAAAGAGCCTTCCAGCCGAGCCAGCCGCTTCCAAAATTCGCTCCGCAGCAGCATGCGCCGCCAGGCAAAGCGCGTACTGCCCGCCGTGCCTGGATCACAGGCAAAAGAACCCGCCACTCCCAATGCACCAGAGACCAACAACGATGTGACAGATGCCATTGCCCAAGTACTGGCCGTGCTGGATGACGAGCCTGCCTTGCCGACTGCCAGCTCAAGCACTCGTCCAGCCGTCAACCTCGTGGTAGAGGAGGATGAGGAGGATGATCAAACTCAAGAAAAAGGCAAGGAGAAGACGGAAAGCTTTACTCGCGCCGTCCGGCAAACCCTGCGTCGTCGTGCCACTCTGAGCCAAGCATCAGGGGGTGTCACCAACAAGGCACGACCGCAAGCACCAGACGGCTCTGACCCCATTACTCCCCGCAACCAGGCCGAACTTGAAGATGCGCGTCCCGCCATGCAGCGTCGTCATCACGTATCCCTCAAAGCCAAACCATCCTCCGTCACGACCACGGCCAGCACCACACCAGCATCCGCCACGCCGGTGCGCAACCTCAAACCCTGCCGTGAAATGTTTCCAACCTCAAAAGCTACTGTAGCACACTCACGCCTCGCACTTGCTCTTGGTGACCTCACTCAACAATGTCCCTTCAGGAACATGACATAAGCGCTCAGGCCCCAGCCCCGGGCCCGGTCTCTGGCGGCTCACTGGCAGACCTTGATGTGGCCATGGCCACCTTATTGCAAACACGTAGGTGAACCTGGATCTGTGCACAACCCTCCGCTCATGCTGCTGACCGTACAGCATCTCACAGCTGGGCGTGGACTATCACGATGCATAGAAACATCCAACGGCACCAGCAGCTCAGACGTGCCCATGACCACCCATGCTGCACCGCGACCCGTGTCCGGAGTACCAAACCTTGGACGTCAGCACGCTGCCCTCGCCAACCGTCTGTCTGTCATGCCTCGGGCCTCGGCACGACAACGTAGTTTGCGCCATTCCGTGCGACAAGGACGCCTCAGCCAGCGCTCAGCAGCTGCGAGTGCTGCTTGGGTGCGTGATCAGATTCAACATGTCGTTCACGCAATCATGGCCCATGGCGTTGCGACGGAATACAACACATCCGCTGTCACCTTTGGCGTGCTCTACGAAAAGCTGTGCGACACCGTTCAGGTACGCGCCATTGCCTGAATCCGCAGCTGGCCCACCACCCCGTCGCATCCGACTGAACTTTTTTGGTCACGCGTGACACTGGCGTCCGACCCGGTCTTCAATACCAACATAGGCCACCGACGTCAATGCTGTGCTAGAGGTTGCCCGCGACTACGCCATCGTGGCATACTCGGGTTAGTAGGCTGCCGCGTCGCAGATTTACTTGGTAGCTGTTGAGATGATGATTAGCACTCATCGTCCTCGCCGCTTGTGTGGTGCCTCATGTCTAGGGGCCCACTTGGACCCCATTCGCATGGCCAGCACCGAGATTCATTTGCTCACGGCTGACCTGAGCCGTGTCAATGAGGATGCAGGTACGAACCGTCGCTGTTTGTCGTTGAACAGGCTCAAAGCATCCAGTTTGTCCCTCATTTCAACCCTGGCACCCCTACGGCAGTGTCCATGTCACAAGTTGCGCGAATGTCCACGCGACGCTCCAAACGACAGGGTATGAGATTGTGGCTTGGTCGGGTCAGTGAAACCCAGTGTTTCACTTGGGTCGGCACCGATTCCGCACCTTGACTAACACCGGCTTTTTGAATGATGTGTTTTTCTCAACTCTTCCTGATAGATATGGCCGCCAGCATGCGTCGGCTAGGCGACTCTGTGCGTCGTGGTGCCCTCAGTCGCGACGCGGCGCTCAAAGCAGCACAATGGATTGATGGCGAGGTCGGATTGACACTCATGTTGCTGACCCAGTGTAGTAAACGCCTTCCCCTCCCGTTTTACTCCACGCACGTGCACGATATTTGTCTGTCCTCACAACAAAGTGCTTACCCCGCTCGAACTGGATGCAGATCAGAAAAGTCATTGGTGTCATCATTCAGCATGGTTTGCGAAACAAACAAGGCCTGTTTGACATTACGTTTGGCGTCTTGTTTGAAAAGACGGCCGACGAGCTGGAAGCCCAAGAGGTGGGTGCGGTTCTTCTGACGGCACGCAACCAAGGCTTGGTGGCCTACGCTGGCGAGGATAGCCTTTCTCCCTATACCGACGGCATGGTCACGGTCACGTTGCTGCGCGAGAGCCTGCATGCCTCCAATGAGAATACCTGTACGTATTGCTATGTTGTCTTTGCGACACAATGCTCTTGATTGAACCCAGAGTCACTCATGGTCCACCTTCTCTGCTTCGTGATGTGCTTGTAGACACGTTTGAGGACCTGCGCCAGCTGTCCGTGCGCCGACGCTGAGCGGGGCTGTTTGTGTGCATGGCACCTCTTCCTGAAGCGTCATTTGTTGGCCTGCTTCCGCGGTCATGCATTGCTTTAATTTGTTTGATTCTCTATTCTGTTTCAATTTGATCATCAGTTAAAACCATTTGCTTGACACCCATCTTGGGTTTCAGTCGGCTTATTGTTGTTTCACTTCCAAGTGCCATGACGTGGGCCTTGGTCTGTGAATTAAGAGTAAGGTCGCACTCTTGATGGAATAAACCCCCAATGTTTGTCTTCTTTCTTTGGCACGCGTGCAGGGTGCCTGTGTGTCAGAATCACCAGTGTTGTGAAGGAGCGCGGGGACTATGCGAGTTTGGCTTCCAGATAGTTGATGCCGGCCTGCTGGCCAATAGCAAACAGGCGCCAGGCATCGGCTTCAGTGGGCGGCACAAAGATCATGCGAAAAAGCTCCACGTCCCTAAACACGTTCTCCGGAACGAGGGAGGGCCCAATCTCGATGGGGATATCCAGAGCGCGTGCAACCCAGTCTGGAAAGGGCAGCACATGCACGCCGCGTTCACCGGGTTTGAGAACGTTGGCGAGTCGCGGTACAAGGTCTTTGAAGCCACCATCCACGTGTGGTTGTCCTCGGAACATGGATGTAAAGCCGTGGTCCAGGTAGCCCGGAATGTAACACGAGGCAATCAAGGCCTCAATGAGATCGTCTTTGCTGAAGAATTCCGAAACAAGCTGATTCATGGCGTTCCACCAGGCACGGGTGAAATGAGGTGATGGTAGAACGGGTGACCCCGTGAAAAAAAGTCATACGCATAGCCAGGAAGTGCATTTGAACACGTACCGTGGGGGGCTTGGTGAAGGAGATGGGCTGAACCGCCACATAGAGACACTCGCGACAGATCTCGTGTGCGTCGGCAGGCAAGAGTGCGTGGAGAAGTTTGCGCAGCATGGCTGCAGTGGCACCCCGATACCAGCCTCCTTTATGCGCACCAGTCTGGTAAGAGCTGAAAGGTGACCATCACACCCAACACTGGCACGAGCTCGAGCTCAAGGGAACAGAGCCGGTAGGCGGGTGCACGGTCCGGACCTTGTTCACGCATAATTTGGGCCTCCATGATATACATGTCCACGGCCACAGCCGGGTCGACCTGACAGGCGATACCGGCAGCAGCAAGGGCGCCACCCGATGCGCCAGCGTAGACAATGTTTGGATGCAGGAGCGCGTGATTACGCAACGCTGTGGCCACGCCTGCATGCCGGGACATGTATGACCAGCATGAGAGGGACCAAATCACCGTGCGACACCATGCGGCGAGTGCTCACTGAGAAGCAGATCTTACCCCAATGAAAGCCCACCAGCCAGCCGCACCCAGAAAATGATACGCCCTTGATGAGCGAGTTGGTATTTTGAGCCTCGACAAAAGGTTCTGTGCTCAGCGAGCGCCGTTGGCTTCTTGTTTGGCATGGTTGGCATGGTTGGCATGGTTGGCATGGTTGACGTGGTGGGTGCAGCCAGGGCGCCGACCGAAGACTTGAGACGCACGACAAGCTGGCCACGCCTCGCTGCCTCCCTCGAGTGCCGCTCAGCACCCGCCCAACCCCGGCCATGGCTCCTTCCCCACAGCCATGGCCCATCCAGCGCAACCCGAGCCGTACTTGAGGAGCCCTCATGATCAGCTTGCTGGTCCGCAGAAAAGCAAGAAATAACTTGACCATTGTCACTGAGTTCGCCATCTGGTTGCGCTCTTGTTTTGGTGTTTGCTCTCTCAAACTCTCTCTCTCTCTCAAACTCTCTCCTCTCAAACTCTCTCTCAAACCTCAAACTCTCTCAAACCCTCAACTCTCTCTCAAAATCTCTCTCTCTCTCTCCCCTCTCTCCATCTCTCTCAAACTTTCTCCATCTCTCTCTCCAGTGCTGCACACTGTCATTTGCAGCACTCTCTTTCAGCTCTTGCGCTGATGATTGGCGGGTGCACAAGATTTGGGCAGATTTTTCGGCGTCTGTGAGGCGGTAACATGGCGACGCGGGATCGCACGCGCGACTTTTTACGTCGTAGGGCAGCACGCTCCAAGCAGCCACATAGCACTTGGGAACAGGTGAGCGGTTAAGCGCCTTGGCCAAGTTTGCCCGGGCTCGAGCTACGGCCGCCCGCATCAATACACGCGCGCACGCTTGAGCGAGCACACGCACCTCCCTCCCCCCTCTGTGCAATGCATGTGCCTCCATGCACCAAGCACAGACCTGCGCCAGCAGCGCCTCGATTAACACCTGGTCGACTCACGCGACGGGTTCACCAACACATAGGAGCACGATGAAGCACAGCTACTGCACGGCGAGGAGGACGAGGGCACAAACGACTATCGTCTGGCCCTACCCCCGGAGTGGGTGGACGACGTCGATGAGGTAAATTCGATTCTCAAGCTTTGCTTGGTTCTGTTAGCGCGTGTGATGGTTCAAGGACCGCGACCGCCTTGCTTTCAGTGGCCAATCCGCACAGCTCATCGCCCATGGCGGGCATGTGACCAAATTGGGATGGACGTAGGCTAAAGAGCTGATTCGCTCCATCGAGAACACCCTGCGTGACCTACACGTGATGCATGAGAAGCATGTCAACACCCCCAACATGGATACACAAGTGCAGGAAGAGCGGGCCATTGAGATTAAGACCTCGGAGATCACGGCTGTGCGTTTGCTTGGGCTGCTCGTGTCCACATGTTTTTCGGGCTGTGCGAGCCCTATGCTATGGCCTCCTATGCGTTTGGCCATGGCTCCTCTCAGCCCACACCTGATGACACACATCCGTTGATGGAATACTTGTAGACGTTTCATCGCGGTCAGAAGCTGTTGACGTCCATCCAACGCAAGGGCAAGGCTTCGGGCTCGGAACAGGAGAAGCGGGTCTGTTCACGCACAGTCTTGATCAGAGCAGACGCTGCTGCAAAACCGGTTCGTCCTCAATTTGAGGCGTGAATTGTAGGTGACGGAGAATATCGCTCGAGGTTTGGCCAGCGAGCTACAAGCCCTATCTCAAACGTTCCGCAAGTCTCAAGGCACATACCTCAAACGTACGTCCATCAGACTGACCTGAACCAGCAGCCACATCAAACTCTCAACCAGACACAGAAAAGGATTGGGAGGGTTTATATCCCGCGTCTCTCAACTGTCACCCAGGCACCTCCTTTCCTGGCACGCTGCACTCATATTGCGCCATTTTCTCTTGGTTGTGATGATTTGTTTGGGTTTGTGTTTTTGCTTTTGGTACATGCGGGCTTTTACAGGTATGAAGGGGCGAGAGGAGAAAGAGAAGTCCTACGGGTTTGCAGCTGAGTTGGACGCGGCTGGTACAGGTACGGCTAACCCCTGAGATCCTGCCTGCGTGGTGTGGCACCCATGGTATTTCCTTGCACACTTGGATTTTGGGGAGTGTTAATATCTGATGACGTGCTGTAGCGGAGGAGCTGGACGACATCAACTTTGATACAGGATTTACGACGGGCCAGCAGGCACAGCTACGAGACAACACGGCCTTGATTGCAGCTCGTGAGAACGAGATTACCAATATTGTGCGCAGCATCAACGAGCTGGCCAGCATCTTCAAGGATTTGGCCGTCCTTGTTGTGGACCAGGTCGGCTGTCACTGCTTGGCGCTTCGGTTCCTCGCCCTCTTTTATATATATATATATATATATATATATATATATATATATATATATATATATATATATATATATATATAATATGTATCTGATAGATACTTATTATGACCATATGAGAGTCGATCCCAAAGCAGGGTGCTTGATCGTCTCATCTGCTGATCTTGCTGATCTATATGTAGGGCACGATCCTTGATCGAATTGACTACAACCTGGAGCGGACCGAGCGGCACGTTGAGCAAGGGCGTATCGAGTTGGAGCAGGCCAATCAGTATCAAAAATCTGCCAGCAAGAAGTACTGCATCATTTTGCTAGGACTGATTGTGTTGGCCATGATTTTTGTACTGATTGTCAAGGGTCGCATCTCTGATCAGAAGAAGAAGCACGGCAGCAGTGACAACAACAACAACAACAACAACAGCTCCAAGATTGAGCTCTTCTTTTCTTAAGCAGTTGATAAGGACTGGGTGTATGGTGACGATTCCTTCAGAACGGAGGGTAGCCGCGGCTTTAATTTATGCCCGCATACCCTTTTTTCTTGCTTGACAAAAAAAAACACCACCTCCTGCTTTCAGGCCTCCGATCACTCTCGCTACCAACTGTCACCCTGCTCTCGACACACTTCGTGCGAGACTTTTGACAAATCCGTTACAAACATCCACACCTCTTGCCTCTCTCTCTGGTCGTCTCGACAGCATTGCGCAAAGATAAGGCAGAGTAACTGTGATTATTGATACACTTTAAAACAGTAGATTCCTCACAGGTGTCAACGTGGTGACTTTCTTTCAAAAGACTCCTTACCAAAGGCTTGGGCGTTTTTTGGCGGGAAAAAGGCGTTTACGTTGACAATATGTGTGTGTGTGTGTGTGTGTGTGTGTGTGGGAAGTGTCAGGTGAATGCTATCTGCTCAGTGAATGCATTGCGGCTGCCTGCTGCTGCCTGCTGCTTGTGTGCAGCCAAAGAGAGACAAAGAGAGACAAAGAGAGTGTGTGTGTGTGTGTGTGTGTCCACGTCCACAGGTCTCGCTCTCACACACGCGCGCGCTTCTGCACTGACACGACCACCTGCAGTGGTCATTTGACGCGACGCTGCCTTGGGTGTCCTGCTTGTTGATTGTACTGCCGTTTGGTGCTCAACAGGCTCGCCACAACGAAGGCGCCGTCCAGTTCTCGATCGCGCCGGTGCCGCCGGTGCCGCCGTCCTCGTGCTACAGCAGGTGAGCACCACCGCCATGTCAGCCCTGGCCACTCGGGCGCACACGCACACTGGCTCAATCAAGCCTGCAAGGCTCGCTCGACAGCGCTGGCCACCATAACTTGTCCGCCTCCCGCTCACCACAAGCCCCACGTCATGTACACGCTGCCTCTTAGACTCTTTTACCCTCACACCACCACCACCACCGTCGCTTGATTCCCCTACCATGGCGAACAGCGACATGGACATGACCAAGCTGGGCAACGGGCCTCGCGCCCGTCGGACCTCGCGCGGCCTCGAACGCTCGCGTGCTCACCTGCGCCAACACCGCTCTCGCACTGGGTCGGAGGAAGAGAAGCAAAACATCAACACCCTCTCCTGGGTCAAGTTCAGCCTCCTCCTGGCCTTTGATGTCACCATGATCGGCATCAACACTTGCATCTGGACCCTGGCCTCGGTCTTCCTCTTTTGCTTCTCCAAGTGCCACGACTGGCTCCTCATGAAGCTGGTCGGCGTCAACTACCTCTACAACGTCTCCTGGGAAGACCCCCGTGTCGATCGCACCGCCCTCAAGCTTCATGAGGGTGACCACGTTCTCACCATCGCCTCTGCTGGTGAGTCCGCCCGCTGCTTGTACCTCGCGCACCCCTTTGCGGCCAGCACCACCCTCGATGACCCTTGATTGATTTGTGACAGGTGATAATGTTCTTGATTTCATCATTGACGGCGCCAAGGTGACTGCTGTGGACCTCAATGCTTGCCAGTTGGCGCTCTGCTCCCTTAAGCGTGCGGCCATCCTCGAGCTCAACCACGATGAATTCTTTCGCATCTTCGCCAAGCAAGACATGGATCTCCTGCGCAACAAGTATCACCTGCTCAAAAAGCACATGGACGCCAACGCCATCAAGTTTTGGGACAGCAAGCTGCCTAGCTTCTCTGGCTTCATGTACAGCGGCTCCTCGGGCTGGCTTGCCTTCTTCCTTTTTCGTGTCCTCTTCCCGGTGACTGGCTTCTCCTGGATCCGGGCCGCTCTTGTGGAGGGTGTCTCGCAGGATGACTTCCGCCGCCGCGTCAAGAACCACGAAGCCCGCCTCGAGTGGCTCGCCTGGATCGCCGACTCAGTCCTCATGCCCATCTTTGCACCCCTCGCCGGTGTGCCCGAGGCTCAACTCAACCTGGGCATGTCCCGCGAGGGCAACGTTCACACCATCATGGAGCGTGTCTTTCTCAACACTGATCTGGTTGAGGACAACTACTTTTTCTACGGCTATATCGTGGGCGAGTACTCGGAGCGCTGCTGCCCCCGCTACCTCAAGGCCGAGCACTTTAGTACCCTGAAGCGCGCCATGGCTGGTGGCAAGCTCATTCTCTACCATGGAACTCTCGCCGACCGCCTTCGCCTGGACGCTCAGGTGGCCAAGCCTCCCAGCTACACGGCTGCCATCATGCTTGACCACCTCGATTGGATGGATGACATGATGGTCAACGAGGAGCTCTCTCTTCTCTGGCCGCTCCTCAACAACGACACCGGCCGCGTCCTCTGGCGCTCCTTTAGCGACGAGCCTCATCGCGCCGCTCTCAAGCATCTCAGTGCCGAGAAGGTGGACAACGGTTCGGGCGACCGCACCGGCATGTACTGGGGTGTCTGGGTCGCTGGCAAGAACACCTGTGGCAACCACCCCGAGCTCACCAGCCCCGGCTTGTTCTGGCAAGAGCAGCAGCCCATGTCCCTGGTGGACAAGGTTGTTACGGGTGCCAAGATTGTCACCTTTCCCGTCCTCAGTCCAGTCCTCAGCATGGCCAGCAATGCTGCTGCTCGGCTGACGGGTGTCTCCAAGGAGGATCTGACCAACAATGCCCATGCCAAGAAGATTGAGGCATTTTACGCCTCACAGGCTGATGCTTATGACGCCTTCCGGGAGAACTTCCTCCACGCTCGCGTCCACCTTGCCACCTGCCTGCCTCTGCCCCCGGGCGAGCTCACCTGGGTAGATGTGGGTGCCGGCACGGCGCGCAATCTCGAGTTTTTCCCCGTCGACACTCTCAAGCGCCGTTTTAAGAAGATTTACATTCTTGACATCTCCGCTTCCCTTCTGGACGTCGCGCGCCGGCGTGTCGAGGCCGCTGGCCTCAGCGACGTGGTTGAGCTGGTCCTCGCTGACTTTACTGATCTCTCTGACAAGGGTACGTCCGCACAGTCCTGCCTCTCCTTCTGCTTTGGGGTGGGGGGGAAGCAAGGAGGGGGCTGGCTAACCCTCACATTGTTCTCATTAATCGATTGATTCATTTTTCTTTGATTCGTGTTGACGCGCAGGCAAGAGTGCGCTGCCAGCACCAGGTAGTGTCGACCTCGTCACGTTCAGTTATTCACTTTCCATGATTCCGGACAAGCGAAGCGCGCTCCAGCAAGCCACTCGCCTGCTGGCGCCAGGCGGTTCGCTGGGCATTGCTGACTTTTTCTACCGTAATGATTCCGACACCTACAAGGACAAGCCCGTCAGCAAGTGGATCAGTCATGTCTATGATCTGGGATGCAAGCTGTGGTTTCGCCAGGACGGAGTGCATCTGCTCTCCAACGATGTGCTTGATACACTCAACGACTCAACGGAACTGACCTGCGCAGAGCGCTTCCGAGGCTCGGTGCCTCTGCTCCCGATCCTCAACCCTTGGCACGGTATTCACATCACCCGCAAGTTGTCGGCAAAGGATCGTGAAGTGTTTACGGACTCGGCCGCCAGCTCCGTGGCTTCTATTGTTGAGGAGGAGGAGGAAGAGAACAGCCTCGACGCGGAATCAAAGCCCAAGCCCATGAATGGTCATGCCACGGGCAAGGGCAAGGGCAAGGGCAAGAAGAATAAGTCCAAGTGATCACCTTAGCACATCACTGTCGCATCCAGCACTCGACGCATGACACGCATGAGCATCCTGTGGGCCTTATTTCCTGTGCTCACGTTTGGTCTTCGCTGCTCACTCAAGCGGCGAGTGCGCTCTCCTCCAATTGATTTTGCCACTTTGCACAGCCTGATTCCCCATGGTGCTAACCGCGACATGGCACACATTCACAATGTCATAATAACTCGACTAGGGATGAGGGTTAGGGGTGAGGTTTACATTGTCAATTTTGACGCACACAAGAACAAAAGCCACGTGGTCTTCGCGGGGCGAACAACTCTGCTTGTTCACTCGACTCTCGACCCAAACGTCACACAGCACCGCTGCTTATCACATGACACAGCTAAATGATCAGCCTCCCGCCTGCCCGCTTCAAAAAGGACAATGGAAGCAAAAACTGAGACGGCACGCCGATGCACTGAAATCTACAACACGCCCGCAACACAAGAAGGTACGAGAGAGAACGACCACTCAAGGGCGGCAGGGCATGGGTGTCGCGCCGCAGAGCGATTTCCAATCAAGGCGTTGATCTCTACTTCTTGGCCGCTCTATCAAAGAGAACAGGCATGCACAGTGTGATTCAGGAGAAGGAAGAGATAAGGGGCGCGAGCAGCCAACAAGGCATGCGCACAGAGACGAGGGCTGAAGGGCAACCACAGTGATAGCTGACGTACCCGGCACCGCCTGCTGCTGTGCTGTTGCTCTTGCTCAGCAGGTTGCTGAAGAAGGATGCCAACATATCGTTGTTCGCCTAGAACAGCGGTTCAATCAGACCAAGGTTGCCAGGACCACAGGGCCGGACACGAAAGCGCGTGGCTGCAGACCCAGCGTACCTTGCCATCTGCTCCAACCCCACCAGGCATGCCGCTCAGCGCTGGCGTGGCAGCGCTGGCCGGCTTGTCGCCTGCAGAGAGGCCTGCTGAAGGCTTGGGTGCAGACAGCTTGGGAGCTGCAGTTGCGGCTGCCGGGGTTGCAGCCACAGGACCAGCGCTGGTGGTTGGAGCTGACGTTACCGCCGAAGCCCCTCCTCCGCTGGGGGCGGGCGCAGCACCCAAGCTGCCAGTCTTGAGCGTGGACATGGTCACCTTGGTGTCCTTGTTGCGGCGCGGATCCAGAGACAGGTTTCTACGACGGAGCCACAAATAGACGAGAACAAGCAGAAAAACCATGAGGGCTTCACAATAGTGGGCTCGTTTCGTTGGCATCACTGTAACAGTCAAGGTGTCAGTGAGCGTCACGTACTGTCGCCGACCGACGCCAGCCGAAAGTTGAGTTTTTCCCAGGACCGCCTGTTGCTCCTTGAGAAATTCCTGCTCATCCTTGACCTCGATCAAGACCTCCTTCTCTTCTGACGTGGGCGGTGGGAATATTTGCTCTTCATACTCATCGTTTGCACTAATGGTTTTAAGACCGTCTTCCAATACCTGGATCTTGGCAGCAGAGTCCACTCCTGCCAAAGCGGTGCGAGCCCAAAATTCATCGTAAGACTCGAGAAGTACGGTACATCATTTAAAACGCAGCTTCTGGCCGGTCCAGATATGACTGAACGACGTACCTGACGGCATGAAGAACGTTTCAGGATCGTTGCTGGCGTCCTCCGCACGAAAGGGGAAACGATGCCGCGTCAAGTCATCACCCACATAGGCCCGATGCACCAGGTACCGATGCACGGCAGTGTTGTTGCTGGCGTCTTTGCAACTATACACAGTTGCCGCACCATACGCCAAGGCCAAGCGCCTGTATCGTTGCACACACAACATGGAAGAAACAAAGTCTTGTGAACTCAACGAGCACGAGGACCAGGCAAATCATGGCACGTGGTGGGGCAATGCAAGCCGGGACGTTCTTCTGGTCCATTGCAGCAAGCGGACACGGGGCCGATGGGCAGGCTGATGGACGCACCGAACGTGTAGCTGAATGAAATCAAAGTGCTGGCCTTGGTAGTCACGATCCTTGCGAAGTGCTGCCATGGCATCCGATTTATTGACCACGAAGACGATGGGCACACCCAGATTTGTAGTCAAAACGCCGTCTTCGAGCTCCAGCAAGGTGTTCTCCGCGAGGGTCGGGTCTTGCACATATCGTGCCACTACACCGTGGTGGTCGCATCACATCGAAAGCAAGATTGCCGCACAGCGTCAGCACAAATAAGAAGAAAAAGGTCAATCAAAGTGAACAGCTGCATCAAACTCTGCCGCTGTATTGGTCAAAGCAGTGTACAAGGCCGAAAGGGGAGAAAGCTCATTGGAGCGACACGACACGACTGAGCAAAGGGGCCATGAGGGGGAAAAAAACTCACGTTTCTCGCGCATCTCTGTCAGTTGCTTGGCGACGGCTTCGCGTGCATCCAGTTCTTGACGTGCTGAAGTTGTGGCTGCATCAGTGGCGTCTGCGTCACCACCAGTGACTGCGCCTTCGCCGTCCACGGGCACGGCAGAATCATCGGTGCCCGCCGGGGCGGATGTGGTGGATGAGCGATACAAGGAGGCCGTGTATTCTTCAATGACGCCAAGCCAGCGCTTGAGGCCACGCATGATGTCCCACGGCTTGGTCATATCCACCACGATGACAAAGACTAGATCGCTAATACTCTCGGGCGTAATGACAAAATCCAAGAGTGGGGCATGTTCGATGTTGCCGTCCAGTGTGTAAACGCCGAGCCGTCCAACCACGTCTGAGCCAAAAAAAAAAAAAAAAAAAAGGAGGAGGGGGGCGGATATGATCAAGCAGGTGAGCACATGCGCATAGAGTCTAGCAATCGCAAGCGCCGTATCGAAGCTGTGGGCCGGTGCATTGCTGAATCGGGCTCGACCGCACCTTCAGTTTCCTCGTCCCGCACGTCGAGGTATGTGTACTCCAACCCGGTGCCCATGGGGTGATCTTTCGGATCATATTTCTGGTTGCCCTGAAGTCGGGAAATGAACGAACTTTTGCCAGTGCCCTCGTCTCCTGTCGATTCGATTGGCATGCAAAGGTGAGAGATCACTCGGTGAATCTTGAAGGGCCGCCGAATGGTGCGGAGCGAGTCATTGGGCAAACAGGAAGGATCGCGCACCGAGCACCACGACGTTCTTGGACGGGAGATGACGAGTTGTAGTTTTGGAGGCCACATTGGCCAGAATGGACGCCCAGAGCGTGCTCTTGCCCTGATTTTGTGCCTTGGCCATCTTGCGAGTTGGTGTCTTCGCTGCGGCGAAAAACTGGCGAAAAGAGTCGCACTACCAAAATATGGTAGCCAGCGCGTATTGCCAAGGACAAAGGTAGCAGGGGGACCAGCTGTAGTCTTGCGCGATGCAGGCACGCACGCTGGCCCACGTATTTCAATCGCTGGCAAGCTCGCTGGCTGAGCGCGCGCGGCCAATGGAGACGGGGGCCGGGGCGAGAAATAGCCAGAAGCGATGCAATCTGTCAGGGGATCAGCCGGGTGGGCAAAGCAGTGCAAGGCATCATCTTGAGCAAGAGCCAGGTGTGCAGCAGATTTTGACGTTTTCCACAGCGGTGGTGAGCAAGCCTTTGCCACATCTGGTGCCTCATCTAAACTGCCGTCGCCCCTCTGCAGTCCAGAGGCGAATTCGATTCGCGCGATCGAGATCACCAGCGCAACCCCCTGTTCGTACATGCACCTATCCTCCCGCTACACATATACATACACACACCCATCTGATCCCGTTTTACAGGCCCTACTCCCCATCCCCTCTTCCACCACCACCATCACCCCTGCCATTCACCCCACCACCACCGCCACCGCCACCGCCACGGCCAGTCGTCGTCTCCAGTGGATCGCACCAACCTCAGAGCCGTTCGGAATTATGCTACCATTTGTCATCCAATGATTCTTGGCTCTCTCTCTCTCTCTTCTCTCTCTTGTTCTTATGGGGTCAAACGGGTATCCACGGTACATCTTGACCCCCCAAACTTGAAAAAAAAAAAAAAGAACAGATATGTCAGACGATTCAACCGCAACAACAGACAGAACTTGAGAGAGACAGAGAGAGACAGAGAGACAGACACAGCGAGACACACAGAGACACACAGAGAGAGAGAGAGACAGAGACACTGGTCCTGTTTTTGTGCTTTGTGGACCTCCTCCCCCATCCTCCTGCTGCTGCTGCTGTTTCATTTCGGACGGCTGCTCTGGGTCTTGGAGGGCCGTGTCAAGGTCCCAGTTACCATCTTGACCGGGTGGTGACTGGCATTGTGGTTTTTTTTGTCACAAGCTGGGCTCTGGCCCGGTTCTAGTCAGCAATACTCGTTGACCACTAGGTACGACCGTGTCCACTGCGCACGTCCAGCCGCCCCCTTTTTGAGCAGTGGGCCAACTGTCCCCGTTTAAACCTTGGTGCATCGGCTTCAATGCACCAGTGCCACCAGCTCACACACCACCATATACCCAAATGTACGTGTTTGGGGTGGCTGCTCTGATTGGATAGCATGGCCGAGTCCGGCCGCTCGGATCTCGCGGCCAAATCAGCCGCTCGCGAAGAGAAGAAGCAAAACACCAAGCGCTTGGCCGCACTTCTCGGTGAGTCAGACAGCCCTGGTTGTCATGCGTCCGCACTCTGCACCCCTAGCTTCTCCTCCTCCCTGTGTCAGCTGAGTTGCAATCCGATGCTCTGGGTCCAACCAAGTGTCGTACCCACACTGCTTCTGACTGCTTTGCCCTGGTCCTCGGGGCTGGATCTGTTTTGTTTGTTCAGGCGCAGAGCTCGATGGCATTCTTGAAGCTCAAAAGGAGCGTGAGGCTGCCGCCAAGGGCGAGAAAGCCGAAGCCAAATACACGCTCTACATGTCCCTCTACGAATACAAAAGGTCCGAGCTCAGCCAGGCTGCCATAACCTCGGCCTACACCGCTTTGATCAACACACCTCACCACCCACGCCCTGGTTGCAGTGATGATCCTCAAGATTTGCAGTTTGGACCTGGAGAAATTCTGCGGTCTGTACCTTGGTCATCCTGAGCCCCATGCCCTGTAGACGCTGCTCAACGCTGACGCTCTTGCTCACTGACCCGTGTCGCTCTTGTGTGTCTGTGTGTTTATGTTCGACAGGGTTTTTGATGATTCTGAGGATTGGTACGAGGGCGAGGACCAGCAAGGAAACCGCGGCTATTTCCCAAGTATGTGCAGACCCGCAATGCGCGTGACCTCACCGCCGCTCGCATCGCTTCGAGACCCCACCTGCCACCCACGGCTACCTCACGACTCGTACACTCCTCTGGCAGATACCTATGTGCGCAAGATCAACGCGCCAACTTCTGGTGGTGCCAAAAGCGTGGAAGGACTGGAGAATTCGTAGTGGATAGGTCTTGATGTAGTCGATCTTCTTCACTTCGTGGCGAGTCAAGCACGTCTCCTCCCTGTTTGCATCCCTGATCGGCCCAAGCCTATGTTTTTTGGCTGCCACACGCGCCCTCCGGCTTTTTGTGCGGTGCAGGAATGTGGGCCAGGCGATCCCGTGGGTTCTTGTTGTTTTTTCGTTGGCTTTTTAGATCCCAGTTTCCCGTGATCCCCAGACATTGCATGTCAATTTCCACCCGTGTACATTTTCGATCGTTGTAGTTTTTTACTTGATTTTTTTGTGTGGCCCGGCCGACGCAATCTGCGCAAACCTGGTTGCCAAATGTTTCCATCTTCTTTCAACCTGCGTGAAACTGTCACTGACACAGGCATCTGTAAACGCTGTTATTTGCCTGCGTGCTGATTGCATCCTCAGCTACGCTCCCAGCGCAGCACGTTTTGCACCGTCACAGTCTGGTCCTTGGCGGCCGACTACAACAAGAGGATGGTACACCACTGTAAGAGCGACCATGCTTTCAATCCGACTGTGTGTCCTGTTTGGCCCTTTTCGCCGCATTCCGATACATACCTTGATAAACTCAGCCACAGTCTGAGACGAGTTGAAAACATAGGGAGCACTCAAGAGATTTTCCACGGTGGCAGCAGCGCTATCGCCTGTCGGGTCAATGGCTGCCGCATGTTGTGCGACCTTGTTGAGGGCCTCCGAGGTTGCGCTACGGGACAGAGGAGCAGGTTGGGTGTGGTGTGAGAAGCCCGTGGCCAGCGCGGCCCACCGAGATGAGAGAAAGTGAACGAGCATGGCGCGTGTGTCGAGCAAGGGGTTGTGTTGCTCTGAAACATGCCTGTCAGCTCCTGAAGTTTCGGCCAGGACAAGGGCGGCATAGCTGCCGTTGTCGTGCACATAAGAACCAAATGTCGCGCCACTCTTCACAAAGCCAGCACCACGTGCCAAGGCCACGTTCTACACGCATCACCGGGGCGGTTAGCTTGGGTCGTCTTGAAGCTCTTGATGCATTCCTATGACGCCGTGACGTACCTCACCCACGGCAGCAACCAGCGCCTTGACACGATCAGCGAGCGTGTCGCTCTCTGCCACGGGCACGGCGGCCACCTCCTATACACGCAAACCCACACGTCAGCTTGGCATCGTGGCGAACATCACGCCTGTTGTCAGAGCAGTCAAGGTCCGAGCAAACGTTAATGGCTGAATGCCACGGGCGATCGGGTTGGCTTGCCTCGGCAGAAAGAAGGTGGGCATCGTTGCCCTCGGCCTTGTTTTGAGCTAGCCATTGAGCCAGTGATTCGGCGCCCAGGCGGCTCGTCTCACCAAAGGCTTCGTTGCGCGCCACGAAGTCAGTCTCGCAGTTCAGCTGGTAGTCGGCGCAATCGCGGTCGTCAGAGTCGAGACTGCTTTGCAGAATTGGAGATATAAGTGCAGAGAGAGCCATGGATTCCCTTACCTGCAGCACAGCGGCAGCCTGTTCGTTGATGGCGATGGCCAACCGTCCCTGTGCGGTGCTGCGGCCTGCCAGCTTGCCTAGGGCTTGCCTGTCAGGTTCAGTCAAGGCGGGCGGGCGTAAATCATCAACTACCGTTCTCCACGGTGTATTTCAGGGGTTCTGTTCTAGCACGTACTGGCCACGGGCCTCTTCGTTGTCTTGCAGCCATTGCAGGGCTGCATCGACGTTGTCGTTGCTGGCCTCGAGAGCTTCGCGGCACAGCTTCATGGGCAGAGCGGTTTGCTCGCGCAGCTTCTTCACGTGGGCCACCGTCACCTGTAGTCCACCCATGGTCAGGCGATGCCGGTGCCACACACGTCGTCAAACGGTGCAATTCAGTTGTGCGGAACTTGCCTTGAAGCGAGCCAGGTTCTGGGCAGCAAGTAGGCGCGGGGCCGTGGGCCGAGCCAGCATGCGGAGAGCCGAGGTGGCATACATGTTTGCAGTGGTATGGCTGCTGGAAAGACAAGCAGTCATGAGCCAAGGTCGTAAGTATCAACATACGCGACCTCCCACGTTCCACCGCAGCATGGATGGACACAGTCTCCCTCCACACCCTTTGCTTCCATCCAACCCGCGGTCTCGGTCATCTTGGTGGATGCCCAGAACCGCCGCCCAAGCCGTCAGAACCAGACCTTTTTTTTTTGACTTTGACAACTGACCTCGTGCCCGTCTCTCTCTCTCTCTCTCTTTGGATGCAACCACGACGAAATCAACGTTTGTTGAGATTGGAGGGGTGTTTCATAAATGGCGCGGTGTTTTTGCACAATTTTTGTGTAATTTTCTGGTTTTTTTTCTTTTTTTCGCTATCTCCACACACAATTTTGAGACCGATTGGCTGTGCAAGGCGGAGCGCAATGTGCGGCAGTACTTGCATTCTTTCGTGGACCTCTTTCTCCTGGATGCTGATATCATGATGTCACTTGGCAGTGCGACCATACAAAACCAAACTTGGAAGTCGAAACGTCGCGGGGGCGGCTTGGGTTTCAAAGTGAGGCGTCGACCCTTACGTATGTCGGGCGGCCACTGTACGAACTGCTTCATGGCTTACAGTTCTTCCCGACGGAATGGTCTCTTCCCAGGCGTGCCGTCACACGCTCCCAGCAGATGCACCACCAACACGGCACGTTCACGGACTGCCCCTTCGTCCAGGTATGTGTTCTGCTCCTCGAAGCGGCCCTTGATGTGGCTAGCAGCGGGAAATTACGTTTGTCACCACCGCACAACCACCGTCAACTCGTGACTTGCACCTCACCCTCAACACACAGCTCTTCTAGATCCAAAAGGAGTAGCATCTCAGAATGGATAAAGTCTCAATTCTCGAGGCATCCAGACGCAACAGATGGAATCAAAAATGTACTCAAGCTATACCACGTTGTGTTTCTTAAACTCCTCCTCTGCCACGGTGATCATCCGATTGCCAAGAGCACGGATGGCGGGGTTGCTGTCACCCTTGAGATCAACAAGCTGACGGAGAGCTTGGACAAACTCACCAGCTGTCTCAAACTCAGAGCGCCGCGCCCGCTCCGTGAGCCGCCGCAAGCCCATGATTGCCTACACAAACACCGCGCACACGCAAATCAGAGGTCATGAACGCGCATACGAACCATGGCTGCCCCGTCCATCCCCGCTGAAAACAACAACAACAACAACAACAACAACAACAACCATAAAAACAAACAAAAATACCCGGACAGAAGAGAAAAAGGGACGACAGGCTTACCATTCCACTGGGTGCTGTGGCATCCGTCTGAAATGTCTTGGACTGGTCGTAGTTGGCCAGCTTCTGCAATGCCACATTTATGACCGAGTTGACGTTGAGTTCGCGCGGGGCAGGCGGCGACTCGGCTTGCAAATTACTCCGCTTCGAAGCGACGGAGGAAGCACCATCGGCACCCCGCTTTTTGGAGCGGCTGGTCGCCTTGCGTTGTGTGGGGCCCTTGGTACTTTTCTTCGACCGACGACTGGCCGTTGAGACGACGCTGCGCCCGTCATCATCGTCTTGGTAGTCATCATCATCCTCATCATTATCATCATCGCTCTCAGTCCGACGGCCGTTGCCACCGGAGCCCTTGGTTTGCTGGCGGCGCAAGCTTGGTGTATGAGGGTGACGGCGCTGGTGCAGGTAGGCCTGGATCACCTTGGGATCTTGGATCAACGCGGTGTGCGTGCGGTTCCCCACCTTGCGCACGATTTTCAGGTGAAAAGCCTGCGGGCGGCGCTCTGGCGCAGCAGCCCCGGATGCGACCTCATTGACCGTTGCAGCATCCTCCTGCGACGCCGTCTGCGCACGCTCGCGGTCCTGCGAGATCATGGCACGCAGTTCACGCGCGGCCTTGGCCTCAGCACGGTCCTCACCAGCATCCTCTCCGTCCAAATCGGACAGGTCGTCGTCGCCATCAGCACCACCATCCTCCCCGTCCGATGTCTCGGGTTCGCTGAGGATTTCGTCATTCTCCAGCGATTTTCGCTCATTGTCAAACACTAGCTGGGAATCCGAGGTAAAACGCATCTAAACGCAAACGCACAGACCGCAAGAGGTTCACAGTGCACGGTGAGAAGGCGCAGCACAGGCGAGATATTCAGCCAATGAACACAAAACTCTGACGATGACGCGACCACCCACACTCCCACACACCTTGTGTTCCGCTGCCGACGATTTGGTTCCACGTGAGTAGTTGAGCGTCTTGCCTTGCTCGTCGGCTTCCTCATTGGCCTTGTAGCTAAATGCCGCCCAATCGCAACACATCACATCCAGTTTCAGCACAAAACAGAATACACACGCAGATCCTCCCCATGCACGCTTTCAGATGCCACCAGTCTTCAAACAATCAACAAGCTCACAAACAACGCAAGGCCCATCACTATTCGTACCGCACGAGCGAGATGCACTGCCAACGAGGCAGACTATTCAAATAATCCATGCCAAGGCCGTATTTTTGATGCAGAAGTTCGCGTGCCTCCTTCAAATTGAGCTTGCGCAAATCCTTATCCTTGGAGCTCATTTTGCCCAGCTGCAGAGCATGGTTTGAAGAAGCAGCATCAGGCCAGCGTTTCAGTTTTGCAGGAGAGAAAGTCGCGCAGTGCACCAACCTGCTTGTTGCGAGACTCGGGTAGCTCGGGCAGCATCTCATCATCGCGACGATTGGCAGCAGGTTTATTGGCCAAGCGCAAGAAAGAATAGCCGAGCGAATGGCCCGTAGGATCACCTGCACCAGTCACGGCCAGCAAGCAACTGCGTTTGATGCAGTCGACAAAATTTTTGGTGATTTGCCACGGCGCCAAGCGCCGCTCGTCCACCTGCACCCACATGGTACGACCCAGCGTCAGCAACAGAACGCTCCAGAAACGACGGCCCTGCCAAACCGCCAGGCAAAACAAAGAGCATACAGACCTTGCTGGTGCCTGGGTCAGTCTCATCGATAGCCTCAAGATTCTTGTCGTTGGCCAAACGGTAGCCCATGTCTACCAAGCGTTGCTCTGCCGCCTTCATCGACTCGTAGGCGCAAAAATCCTCAGGCGAGAATTTGCCCTCAAGAAGTTCCTGACCAATCTTGTTCTTTTTGTCGACAGACCGCCATTCCCATGCACCCCTACAAGAATTGAATGGGATCCACAATCATCAAAGGAGGCAACCCGTGCTGGGTCAAGGGCCTGAAGCCAAGAGAGGAGCGAAATAAAGGGTAGTGCGGCGCAAGCAAGGGCTTTGAGGCGTACTTAAAGTCTGATGCGGCATGTCGCTTGAAGGTGGCATACTCTTTCAGAACCTTGCGGATGGACGAGTCGGTACTGTTGGTGGTGCGGCGCACGTCGTCCACGCGCAACAAGACAGGGTCATTAGGAGAGCGCCGTGGATCAGTCATCTTGTTGTTGAAGAGATTAATGATAATCATTTCCAGATGTCGCTTCTCCAAATCCTGCTCGCGTTTGCTGTTTGGGGCTGGGACCTCCAGCTAGAGCATATTTGAGTAAGAATATATCAAGATGAGTTTCACATGCGCCCACAATGACGGTCACAATAGAAAAGAAAAGAAAAAAAAAAAAACCGAAAAGGAAAAAAGAGCGACGGGAGTATGATGCCAGCCAGCCTTCGGCAATCGGGGTCGGGTGAAGCGAGGTCACGCCCTTTGCCCACCTTCGGAAGTGTTTGGCCCACAACAAAGGCGGTTTTGAGACGTAGGATGAACCATTGGTCGTTGCGCTTGACCAGCAAAAAGTCAGTTTGCTCAAGTTTCTGATCGTAAATGGGGGCCCGAAAAAGGTTATTCTCGATGGACATCACAGGATGGCCTGCGCACAGTCATAGCAAAAAGAAATTACATCAAGTCAAGATCAGTGCTCTTGGGAGAAAGTCAGAGGCGGAGAGCAAAGATAGATAGTAAGTAGGTCGGTAGCCTCGCTGCAGAACCAATCCCCACCACGTATACACGCACCAGGTGGCAGCGTGCCGAGAAAGGGGGATTCCTCGTTGGTGTTGAGAATGGCCAGGGTGCCCAGCTCGATGGAGGGTCGAGTGCGATCGTTGGCCTTGATCTTGCGATAGTAGCAGCGCAGCTCTGAGCACATGCTGGGGCGGCATAGCAGCGGAGGGTATTCCTCCGCATATTCCAACACCACCTACATGGCAAAAGATCAAGTCAATATTCTTTTCATGGCTGATGCGGGCCTCGTGGGATGAAGGGTGATGGTGATCGCAGGCCAATGGGCGCGTTGAAACTGACCAGCTGATCATAGAAAGCCGAGATTTCCCATGTCTTATGAAAAGCACGTTTCCTGTTGCAACACACGCGCAAGGGTTGTGGGCGAGTGAGGGGGAGGAGGGCAATCTGAAGGTATGAGCCACAGGCGAGAGCCAGCGCATGCGTCTCATGCATTTTTCACAAGAAGCACAGCGTCAAGCACAAAGGCAGGGAGGGCAGCAAGGTAATGGTCAGATGATTGAGGCAATCAGACAGCGCTGGGTACTTGCGACCACACCCCTTTGACTTACGAGCCCCGACGAAATTCCTCAAGGGCTGGCGCAAACTGAGCTGTGACTTGACTGCCGTTGGCAAGCACACAGGGCTTCTTCTCTGGCTTGAGCAGCGGCCGATGCCAGTGTCGAAAGCTCCTAATGATGAAAGGTTAAAAGAGAGAAAGAGAGAGAGAGAAAGCGATGAGCTACATTGATCTCAAACACCTGCATCTTCTCTTGTTCGATGGTCCACAAGCTTGGCGTTTGAAGGAATTCGGGGTAGGGGTTGAGTGTGTAGTTGACAGAGAAGCGTGACGGACATGAACGGCTGCTTCCATGGGAAGAACTTTTGATAGACACGGCGTGCCGGACGCGGGTGGCGAACGTGATACTGCAACATGGACCGCCAAGCATGGCGTTGCTCCGTTTGCGTGCCTTTGATGATGCCAGAAGCCATGCCATGAGGTACAGGTGGAGCACATGAGGACGCCGAGTCATGGGCAAACAGTCAGGGCCCCAAATTGAGGTCCAAGGTCGTACCAACACGCGGCTGATAAAAGAAGTCATTGGACACGTTAAAACGCTGCAGGCCCATAGCTTGGTTGGCTGATAACGAGCCATGGTCATGAGCCGCAGACAGCATAATACGGCGCGAAATTGAAGCGCTCAGCGAAAGGGGGTGCAGGCATTAGACAATCGGTGGCCATGCGACATACCAGCCTCTGCGAAGGGGCCGCGCTCAGCCATGACCTTGGCAATGCGTTCCAGCTTCCAATCGGCCACATATTGCCGACCACGGCCCTAACAGGAGCAAAATGTTGCGTTGTGTGTGCACGATGAGCCATCCAGCACAGGGCTGCAGAAAGAAAGTGACACCTGGCAATACGATTCTGTTGTCACACGAAAAGTCGATGTTCTGTACCTGGTGTAAGATCATGTAACGCTTAAAAGTCGGGGCGCGTACGGCGTAATCAGACACAAAGAGGGGGTCATTCAGGTCCAAGTAGAGGTTGCTGTGACGTTTCTGTGAGCAGTTGGATAAAGCGGCGTTGAATGTGAGCAGGCTTTTTGGAAAGAGGGAAGGGGCAGTTACAGACGAAGGAGTACCTTGTGCTTGGCCAGGTGATCCTCGTCTTGGCCATCTTCTTCATCGGGCTCTTCCTCGGACGACGAGGACTCAATATCATCCTTGGTCCAGTAAATCTTGTTCTCCCAACGCTCGTAGCAGAGGTGTTCATTGATGGGAGGTAGCTCGCTCACCGCCCTAGAGCCCAGTAGGGTTGAGACAATGAGGCTTGCATTAGACGCATTCACACTCAACGATCTTGTATGTCATGATCACGGACACAGCACTGTGAATGTGCATGGGTGTTGCGTCTTACGTGCTAACATCCACCACGGGCTTGGGCATGCTATTGACGGCCATGATAGGCACCACGTGCTTGGCATCTATGGCACAAGGGGTGTGAGGTTGGGGTTGGGGCAGCATGCCGGGTTGCCATGAACAGCTGATCCAAGCAACGCTCAAGAGCCATTTCCGAGGCCCAGGCCGCGGTGTTGCAGTGGCGTGCTCACCAGTTGCCACGCCGTATTTGAGTTGCAAACGTTCCTGCTCTTGCTTTTTGACGGTTCTATACACCAACGCCAAGTATTGTTTGTACAAAGTGAGGTACACAAGGCGGTGAGTCGGGCCTTGAAGCACCGGAACGCACTTGACTTTTGGAGATTTATTGCGACGACGCTTTTCCGCCTGCAGGTAGAGGGGGGGATGGGTGTCAAGTATCGACAAGAAGCGGCCAAGTGAAGTGAGAAATGAGTCTAGGGCTGGCGGGAGTCACGCAGAAGAGCAGCCAAGGACTGGCTGACCTTGGTATCGCCTTCGTTGGTGGGCCCTTTCGGGTTGCGGGACCTTGCTTCTTTTTCGCGGCGGTTACGCTCTTGTTGTTCTTCATCCTAAATTTGGGGGGCCAGCGTTGAGTCCAGGAACGAGTGAGCAGGGGGTTTGAGGCTCATGTCATGTGTTAGTGCCTCGCATTGGAACAGGTTGCAGAGAGCAGAACATACGCGCTTCTGGCGGTCCTCGGCGTCGGCAAGGTTAATGTCGCGGTTGGAGGACATGATTTCGGTGTAAACTTCATGTACGTTGGCGTTCACGCCGCTGGCCTAAGATGCGGACAAGTGTGAGGTGAGCAACATGTAGGTGGTGGCAACTGACGCGAGAATGAGGCTGGTGTAAAAACAAGAGACGTCTTGGCACACCTGTTGACCATTGGGGTGTTCCCAGATGATGTTGTCCTCCCAGTTCACCTAAATGCCGAGATGTGGTGGGGAGGGGGGGAGGAGTGATCAGGGGCAAGGCGGTATGGCTCTGCAAGGCTGACCGAAAAGTGCACGCGCGCAGAGAGGCGAGGCGCACAAACCAGACAGGCCAAGGGCAGGCCTCCACGGTGGCTCGGGGGTTCATTCTGGTAGTTGCTGGTCTAAGCGAGGGGAGCGCGAGGCAATGAGATGGTGATGATGTGCAGAGGGTATGGAGCACGCGGGTCAGGTCGCGGGTCAGGTATGCCAACCTGTTGCACTGAGTCTTCCGACTCCAGGAGGGCTTCAGCGGCTTCACGCGAAGCAAGTTGTTCGGCTCGCTCATGAGCCAGGAGACAACGTGGCTGAGAGAAACGCAGCAATGAGGTCCCAAGCGTCAGAAACATGTGAAGGAGAGCGAGAAGGAGAGAGTTTGAGGGGGAGAGTTTGAGGGGGAGAGTTTGAGGGAGAGAGTTTGAGGGAGAGAGTTTGAGAGAGAGAGAGAGAGTTTGAGAGAGAGAGAGAGAGTTTGAGAGAGAGAGTTTGAAGGACAGAGTTTGAGGGAGAGGGTTTGAGAGAGAGAGTTTGAGAGAGACAGAGGGAGGTTGAGAGAGAGGGAGAGAGCGATCAGGCAAGGTGCAAAAGGGACAAGAGATGAGCAACAGCAATGAGGTGTGTGTTTCAAGTGTTGACGTCATGACGGCAGGGGGTAGTCTGAGGCTGATGTGTCGCGCTACCTTGGGAAGGGCCGCTGCCTTTTGTGCAGTGACTGTGGCTGAGTCGCTGTTGTCCTCGAGGGCGCGGGTCATGATGGAGCGATCAAACTCTTCGCCTTCATCATCTCGCTGTTGAACAACAAGATGCGGGGAGGCGGGACGGCCACCTGCACGACGGGCCCCCGGTGCCAGGCACAAGCAGATGGGTGAGTATAGAAGGGCGTGCATGTTGGCAGGCTAAGCGTGGCGCGGCTGGGGCCGGCAACGAGGTGTGCATGGTGGGGGAGCGCGGGGGAGGGGCTTGTGTACCAGGTCGGGCAATATCGCCGAGCTCGGGTTCTCGTTCGTCGAGAAGCGCGCTGACTCGAAGACGCTCGCCGTATTTGAAGTTGGGAAAGAGCGAGCCCAGGGTTTCATCTGGTGCGTGAACGAGCGAGCAAGAGTCAGCGCAAAGCCAAGACAGAACTCTGATCCAATGCGCATCCTGCCCACAAGAATCGAAGACGCCGCGAGCTGCCACAAACGGTGCGGTGGGTTCGCACCAGCTTCATCATCACTAGCGGTGCGCCAAGGTGCGATATCCTTGAGGTCAGGCGGAGGGGTTATGGGAGGGTCGCCATCTTCGCTCGTGTCCATGTGTGTGTCCATGGTGCAAAATACCCGGCACACGGCCGGGTGCGCGTGCGGGCTTGAGGGACAGTCCTGTGCTGGCGAGTCGTCTGCCATCCTCAAACGAAAAAAAAAAAAAAAGGTAGTGTGGGTTGGAACGTGAGATGATGAGAAGACCCTGACTCGACCATCTCCCAAGTAAAGTCACTATCAGCCCCACCTGTCTGCGTCTGTGAAGCCTCCCTCGTTGGGCGTGGTAGATATGATCAAACACACCCGCCACCACCACCACTCAATGACCAGGCGCCGGATGTCCAAAGGCTGACAGCCGACCACCAAATGCTTTCTTTAAGTTTTTTGCTGGCACCCTGATACCATCTGACATTTGACACACTTTTGATGTGGCGAAGCACTGAACAAGCCAACTTTACCACACGTCTCAGTGGCTTGATCAATGTTGGTGAAAGGTCTTCAGTTCAAGTTAATAAGAGAAAGAGAGAGAAGTAACCTTGAAGGTTCCAAAAATAAGCATAATGCTTACGCGTCGGACGTCCACGGATCTCAAGCAAGCATCTGTAGAGCCGAAGCTACCACAGCTGTTGTTTGCATCTTCAGTAAAAGGCGAAAGATATGTTCGCTTTGAACGTCCGACAAGCTGCTTTGGCCGCGATTTTATTTTTCTTATAAACACAGAGTTTAAAAACTCGGCTTGTGGGTACACACTCCAACACGCTTGTTGTCAGCTTTTTTTTCTCGAGTGAATGTGTGTGTGTGTGTGTGTGTGTGTCTCACTCTCTCTTCTCTGTGATCAGGCTTACTTGCAGTCAAGAGCAACGGCGGTGGCGCAACAGCAGCAGCAGCAGCAGCAGCAGCAGGAGTCCCCAGATCTGATACAGACAGACCTGTGTGTCATTGATTGCTAGAGAGGTATGCATTGGATGGAGTGCAAGTGCTGGTGGATGGCATGTGATCCAATGCTATGCCTGCAATGACGATCGAGATTTGTCGTTCCGATTCGTGATGCTCATATTGGCTGTTTGCTCCTGGGCACCCTCAACTGCATTCCGCGTCCCAATCAGAGCGTGCATTTGCGAGGGCAGGCACCATTCCCCGCTGCAAGCTTCCACGCCGCATCAGCACGATGGCGTGCTGCAAGCGCGGCACATATAATGTGCTCATGCATGGCCTGGCGTTTATGGCCATGTTTACCGCCTTCCAGGTACTCCCCATGCCCGGCTCGTGCCCCAACTTGCTGTTGACCAACTTTGATCTTTCTTTGAGGTGGTGCTGCTCGTCAATTGGTTTCTCACTAGCCGCCTTTCTTGTCTTCAACGATCTGGGCCCCCAATCGCCATGACAAAGACTTCTGGATCCTTTCAGACCACCGTCCTCAAGGATCAGCACCTGGGAGCAAGCCTGGGCTTTCAGAGTCTCGCCATCATCTATGTGGTGTTTAGTCTCTTCAATTTTATCTCTCCTTCCGTTGTGGCACTGATTGGCCCACGTCCCAGCATGATTTTCGTGCGTTTCCCGATCCCGGGCGCCCCTCTGTTGTCTGTGTGCATTCTAACTGCCTGCAACACCTGGCGGCATTCGTCCACAGGGATCCGTCATGTATGCGCTCTTCATCGCTGCTTTTCTCAAACCCATGCGCTGGAGCATCTTGGCAGCCAGTGTGCTCGTGGGTATGGGGGCAGCCGTCATTTGGACGGCGCAAGGCAATTTCCTGACCCTCAACACCACCAAGGAAAACCGAGGCCAGATGTCTGGCATCTTCTGGTATGAATGCAACCCCCACCTCCCTCCTCCCAGCACACCCCTTCACAATGCGCCTTCAGCCCAAGCACCCCGGCTGAACACGGATCATAACGTGCCTGTGGCTTGGATCTTTCACTTTGTGCCGGCCATTTGCCTCTCGCATAGGGCCCTTTTGCAATGCTCCTTGCTCATCGGCAACTTGATTGGCTACTTTCTCTTGTCGGGCGATACCATTGGCGCGGACGAGGCACATCGCTTCTATCAAATCCTCTTTGGAGCTGCTTGTGGAGGCGTGGTGCTTTTCTTCTTTCTCCGTCGCTCCCGCCCCGAGGTACAGAGCTCGGCTGCAGAGGCGTGGTCCCGCTTGAAGACGTGTCGATTTTTCATGTCTCTTTGATTTTGCCGCACACAGCGCACCGAGGACTATACGAGTGTAGAGGACGTCGAGCCGCGCTCCATTCGTGAGGAAATCTGTACGTGACCGTGATAAGAAACCATATTCACTGCTCACAGCCGTGCACGTTATCACTCGACCACCGGGGCTTACCCTGCTGCTACTTGTTTCAACGTGTCGGTAGCCAACACCATCGCCCTCCTCTTGACCAAGGACATGCTGCTGCTCAGCATCTCCATCATGTATTCAGGTGCGCCTGACGACTCTTCAATGGCATGGCCCGCTAGTTCCGACTTGACCATCCACTTGGCCACTCATGTGTGTGTGTGTTTTGCAGGTCTCGTCTTGACGTTCTGGTCGGCCAAATACCCGACCATGGTTGGTGACGCATTTCAGCCCAAGGTTGGTGTGAAACTGGCTCTTTCAACTTCAACTGGCCGCTCGGCAAGGCGTTTTGTGCTCAACACATTGATTCAACCCGTTGTAATGGTATGCCCATAGGATATCGGACTGTCTGGCATTACCGTGGGCGTGGCAGAGATTCTCGGAGGCTTGACGATGGGTCGTCTGGCCGACGCCTACGGACGACCTTGGTAAGTTTCCAATTCCAACTCCTCCTTTTGACAGGCTCGCCTTCTGTGCTTTAGGCTCCATCGTTCCGCTTCCATTAGTCCTTGCGCTTGGTTCAGCTCGGACCAGTGTCTAACCATGGTTGGAATCTCGGGGTTGTGGGCGCAGGGTCATGATGGTCACCCTCTTTGTGCACGCGGCCGGAGGCTTTTTGGTCTTCCTTAACCTGATCTCCAACTATCTGACGCCGAGGTGTGTCCGTGTGTCTTGATGCTTTGTCGCTCAAAAATCGCGAAAGGGCCCTCCGGCCACGGTGAACTGATCCTTCTCATCGAGGGCCGCCACAGCCTGGAGCTTGCGCTACTGGGCTCCTTCCTTCTCGGTTTTGGTGACTCATCGGTCAACACAGCGGTCAGTGTGAACATTACCACTGCCAGCCTCTGACCAGTATACTACAGGAAGGCGGCTCACCTTTTGGTGATCAGAAAGCTGGATGGTTCACCATCACCAACTCGCACTCACTCACGTCTCACCCCGCCTTCTTGGTGTGGTGCTACTTGCTTGCAGCTGTATTCGGAGCTTGGTCAGCGATACACCGACGAGAGCGCATCGGCTTTTGCCGTCTTCAAGTTTTTTCAGTCAGCCATGGCCGGCATTGCTCAGGCTTATGCCGGAGAGTTGTCAGCCAGCTATCAGCTTCTAATCCTGGTACGTGCCCTCCCCGCTCTTTTTCTCCAGGTGCTAGCCTTTCTTCCCTTGTCCTCACCTGCCTCGCCATGTACACAGGCTATTTTCCTTCTCTCAGGCTCATACACCTTTATCATGGTGAGCAAAAAGCCCATCGAAACCAGTACCGACTTTCGTTATACCAAGATTTTGAACGACTAGGAGTGCACGCAGGGCCGCATTGTGCTCGGCTTGCCGTGATGTTTCATGGGCTGGGGTGCTCAGCTTTGTTCTTTCGCGATGGCGCACCTCCATGTTTTCCTTTCATTTTTTTTCCTTGTCTCGCTTTTCTTTTATGTTTGTTGTGTCTTCAAAAGTGATGTATGTCCAAAAATAAGGCTTGTAGCAATCTCGTTGTGTCAATCGACCCACCTCACCGTTCGCACGAGACACGATTGAGCATGGGTGGTACAGAACTGGAAGACGACAAAAAACTTTCAGCCTGCGACTGTCAATTGGTGCGAGCGTGTTCGGGGCAAAAGAAGGCATGGAAGAAGAAAGGAAGAAAATTGGGACTCACGAGGTTGATGATGGGAGATTGTCACACAACAAACTCATCGGCGATCTGGATGAGCACATAAAACGCAATCAAGCAACATGGAATGAGGCAACGTGACTGGGTGGTGTAGGTGAGCATGAGCCACTCAAGTTCAGGACGCAAATTCTGCCGTACCTTCGCGATCGTCGGATGGGGCCGCCCTCCTGTTGAGCCCAAATGGCGCGAGCAAGATTCAATAAGATTCAATGTGAGGTGTAGGCAAGCAATTGCATCAGCGCAAAAATGTGGGGTAGGAGGCAAACTATGCGCCATGTCAAAGTAGGGGCCGTGCGATGCTCACCGATCATCGCGTGGGTAGTCCCTCGAGGGGCTGCCGTGGTCGCGTGCAGGAGGAGCGCGGTCATCACCGCGCGGAGAGCGATCCCCACCACGTGGTGCCCGATCGTCGGCACGTTCATCATAGCGGGGACGGTCATCGTAACGGGGGCGGTCCTCATAGCGGGGGCGATCGTCGTAGCGAGGGCGGTCCTCATAGCGAGGACGGTCGTCGTAGCGGGGGCGATCATCATAGCGGGGGCGGCGATCGTAGTCATCGTAGCGGGGGCGATCGTCGTAGCGGGGGCGGCGGTCGTAGTCATCGTAGCGTGGACGGTAGCTGCGGGACAGACGGCAAATAAGACAATGCCAACGAACACACGATGGAACAGGAGATTGAGTTTGTACTGAAAAGGAAGCAATGGGGCGGCATCGTACCCGCGGTCGTCACGACGATCGTAGCTGTGGTGATGCGTGGGTGTCACAGTACAGTCAAGTCGGGGAAATCAGTCAATCGATGCCACAACAACCAGGGTGCGTAGGATGGGGGGGGGGGGGGGGGGGGGGGGAAACCT